AGCAATTTGAAGGGAGGAAATGCAGGCAACCAGATAAAAAAAACCACCTCTTCAGCCCATCACTGCCCTCCACCCCTCTGTTCCCCCAAGACTCGTCCAGCGAGGAAAGGGGTCACAGGCCAGGACAGAGGAGTGCCGTACTGTTTCAAGCCCCTGACTACAGTGCTCCCAAAACCCTGCTGTTGTGGAGTGTTCAACAGGAAGGATCATTCACAACAGCTACTGTGAGGCCTGCATCTTCGCCTGGGACTGTCTTCTACTGTTGAGCAGAAAAAAAAACCACTTCCAATTCCCTTACGCACTCTTCTTTTTATCTTTTTCTCCCTTCTCCGCTTGATTATGTGCATTTTCTATTCTTGCCCCATGCGCTGAGCAAATGAGAATTCCACCCCCTCTGGATAAGCACTATACTAGAATTTGCACTTGCAGGGAGCAGGAAAAAAAAACTCCAGAGCTACCGATTTTCATTGCACTGATCAGAAGACCGAAAAAAAGACATCAAGAAAAGAGAGAAGAGATAAATGTGTAGCCAGTGGAATGCACAGCCTCAAAGACATCCAAGGGAGAAAACCACACATCAAACTAGCAAACTATTAGCAAAGTCACAACCCACTGCCCTGAAAGGGAGACAGGTTTCGGGATTTCTCTGACCTGACAGCTGTGCTGTGCTGTCAGACACACAATTGCCCCAGGGCAAAGTGTGTAACAATCCTCAGGAAAGGAGGGAATCAAAAAGGAAACATCTGAATCAATACACATTGTTCTGTCGAGCACAGAGATGCATCCTTCTGGGATAGTACAGAGCAAAGCTGTGACTTCGCACCAATGAACAACCAATAGTTTTCCTAACCTTACTGACTCAGCAGCATGTTCGTGCACAGGGAAGTGTAAGATACACTTCTGGGATGTGACATATTTATAACAACCATGGAAAAATTAAAGGCACACTTCAATGAAGGGTAAACACATGAAGCACTCGAAAATACAAGCAAAACACATGGCGTCTCTCAATGTTATTTAAAATCGACAGGGGGAAACAGTATACTCACACACGTAAACAGAGACATGAAAGCTGAATGTTTCTGGGACACAACCTCAAAAAGCCGTGCAAGGCTGCCGGCCCTGATGGCATCCCCTCCTGTGTTTTAAAGGCATGTGGCGCACAGCTGGCCCTTGTCTTCACTGTAATATTTAACATGTCACTATCCCTGTCTACTGTCCCACTGTGCTTCAAGAGCACTACTGTCATGCCACTACCTAAAGCAACCAAGGTGTCATGTCTCAATGACTCCCGTCCGGTGGCACTCACTCAGCAGTCATGAAGTGTGTGAAGAAACTGGTGATGGGACACATCAACAGTATTGTCCCGGACTCCATGGACCCCCTGCAGCTTGCTTATAGGAATAATAGGTCAGTGGACGATGCTGTCTCACTCGCCCTTCACGCCACCTGGACAAGAGGAACACCTGTGCCAGGATGTTATTTATGGACCTCAGCTCAGCCTTCAACACAATTGTGCCAGGTAGGCTGGTGGTCCAACTCAGGGGTCTGGGCCTCAGCAATTCCATCTGCAATTGGGTCCTGGACTTCCTGACAGTCAGACCCCAAATGGTGAGGATTGGAAACAAAACCTCATCCCCTCTGATCCTCAACACAGGGGCCCTGCAGGGCTGCTGCCTGAGCCCACGGCTGTATTCTCTATTTACACATGACTGTGTGGCTAGATTGAACAGCCACCACATCATCCAGTTCGCTGATGACACCACAGTAATCGCTCTTAATATCGGCAAAACAAAAGAGATTATAGTGGACTTCCGGAGGCACAGAGGACATCATCATTCAGGGGGCTCCAGTCGAAACTGTCAGCACCTTCAGGTTCCTCGGCCCCCAGATCACTTAGGGGCTGAGCTGGTCAGAGAACACTGCTGCCATCCTCACTGAAGCCCACCAGCGCCTGCACGTCCTGCGACGGTTAAGGAAGTGGGGGATGAGCAAGACAAAACTCACCAATTTGTACCGTAAAACCATTGCGAGTGTCTTGACCGGTGGTATTACAGTGTGGTATGGTGGAGCCACAGTACAGGACAGAAAAGCCATACAGAGGGTTGTGAGGTCCGGGCAGAACACTGACCAGTAGATTCAGAAACAGTTTCTTCCCCCAAGCAGTCCATATCATAATTAGGACCTGCACTTTAAGGTACAAGTTTGCACTATGTCCTGTCTTGGCTGTCAATGTCCGTTTGTCATTTGTGTCTATTTTTTTCTCTCTGCTGTTATTGGGTACAGCTAAACGAGTAAGCATTCCAATACACTTGTTGTATATGGCAAATAAAAAACCTTGAATCTTGAATTCATTGCTAGCATACTGGGCTGAATCCTGCTTTGGAAAAAGAAAATCCCCAAGGCTGGTAAAACTTAATGACAGCCCTATATTCTCAGAACATCTTTATCATGTCTAAAGCCATTCAGCAGCTGTCCAGATTACACGCTCCTATTTCACACAAGCTGACTGTCCGAGCCCTCATTACTGAACACATGCCCATGCGACAGCACAGCAAACAAACAACTTGGAAAAGTGCTGTGTAATGCAAACCATAGCCCGACCAATCTATAGCCAGAGCAATGTAGGAAACAACCACAAACTGCTCCTTGCCACTGGATAAAATAGCATTTCCTGCTTTTTTGGCCTATTTTTTTTTCCTTCCAGTATTACTTTTAATGATGTGAACAGCAAACCAAAATTCCACGACCTTACTGTCTTCTTCAGCAAGTGTAAGTCAAGTGTCTAAACCTCCGATTTTCACAGCTAAACCCCCAAGGTGTTTACAGCATTGCGCTGCGTCAGGGTTTTTTGTAGAAACAGTAACAACTGCTTGCATTTGTGTAATCAGAGAAGAGAGTCCAAGGTAGCACACACACAAAAACATCATACATCCTGGCTTGCAAAGCAAGACCGCTATTATACCGTTTGCTAACTAGAAAACATTCATGTCTACTGAGCGTTCACTATAAGGAGAAAACTTTTTCAGTACAAAAAAAGGGAAGAAATGAATTTCTCTCCTGCAACAAAGCATTCTGAACTCTCACAGGCCTAGTTAAACAGAGGTCAACTTTATTGAGGAGGAAGAATTTAACTTTGCAACTGAACTGGCCAAAGCCAATGGTGAGATGACTTTCATTTACTGTAAGTGGCCAGCTGCCCACATCAAGCAAAAAGCACCTCCAAAACTATCGGCATTGGTCCTGAAAACCCCCTGCTGTGCCAGTTGTGCTCTGTTTCTCTTGTTTCCACACAGAGCAGACTGTCAGGCCAGAACAGATAAAAATCTATCTGGCTTCGCCACTCTCTATTACACCTGATCTGTGCTCACCCAAGACCTTCAGTGAGCAGGTACTCTTTGTGGACAAACAATCGCCAGACTGGCGTGCTTTAGGGCAATTTTTGGATGTCGGCTTCTCTCAGCCGTCCAAGGAAATGCGGGATGAGATAATTTTTTTCTGCATTCACCACTACGTGGAACAGCCAAGCTTATCGACAGCGCAGGCCCCTCATAGTGCATGAGGAGATCCTGTAAGAACAAGAGAGTGTGCGTGGAGGAGGCAGCAAATCTTAAACGCTGCTGTAGTTTAGATCACCGATCTCAACAAGACTAGACCCCTGTCCCGCCCCACACCCGGGCCCCCTCTTAAACCCCAACGCAACAGGTGAGCGGACAGTCTTTTAAAGACACAAAGCGGAGAGGGACATTTCGACTCCCCCTCTCTCGGAGGCTGCCATCAGCTCCGACCCCAGCGACGCAGCTCAAAATGCTTAGTGGCTGCGGCAGCAAAGCTCATGGCCCTGCTCCAGATGCCAAAAGGATTTACTACAGGGCACTGAAAGGCAGTGTGCACCAAGAGGAGTGAAGGAGCGGGCAGCAGGCCCTCCTCAAGCACCAGGGTGCCCTGCACAAACGACAGAGGGGTTAGGGTTGGTTATATGTCAGAGCGCACTAAACTCTCAGTAAGCAGCCTGCTACTTTTTAAGTGATTTGCAGCAGCTTTGGCTTAGTCACCCTGTGTGTCTAATGCACTTACTGTTCATAGACGGCTCAGTGCCGGACTTAACTACTAATGAGAGTTTGGAGGCCAGTGTCTCAAACCCTCTTTTACTATTCACGACAGAATTTAAACAGTAGACCTCAACGTGTTTCATTGGGGGGGGGGGGACTATTCGGTAGATTTTCAAATTAATATTTAGCATCTGTCACGAAATTCGCCATCGTTTTTAATTCTGTGGCGTTTTAAATCTCAGCCACAAAACATTTGAGCGTGGTTGCATCGTATGTGGGAGTCACTTCGTATCAAAGAATTATTGACCTCTTCTCTTAAGACAGAAGCCCTACATCACACCTATCTAACCTCCTTGTCTCACGAATTTACATAACTTTACATTTCAAAGGTGCAAACGGAATTCAGTGCCAAGAACTGATTGCTCTGACACATCGGAGTACACACTTCTCCGAGCACATCGGAGAGCTAAACACGGTTACAAATGTATAAAATGCAGGTCGGCTTTTGTCGTTGATAAACGGAGGGGTGCAGACAACAATTCACATGCTGTAGCCCGGAATCCGAAAGCGTTACACTTCGCCACCTTATCACATCCTGAAACATTTCTACGCCTCTGAACACAGCGAAATGTGTTTTCATGCACAGGGTCTGACACCCCTGTCGAAACGCAAAAGCAACCCGGTACGACATTGCACGTCGGCAAAACACGCGAAACCTCTTGTTTTAAGTTACACATTTCAGAACTCGTGTCCGATCGCAACACCCAGCCTTGGCCCTAGAAGCTACACAACCCTTAGCTGTTTATGCACTGTTTGCTACTCAGTAGTCGGGGAGGAGGGGGGACTGAGCCCGTTCTGTTCAGTGCCGATCCGGAGGGCAGGCAGGGCTCTCTCCGGGACCGTCACGAACGCGGACCGGACCCCGGCTGGGCGCTCAAGGTTGTTTACCTGTAACTCGGCCCGCTCCACCTCCCACTGGGCTCTCTCCACCTCGAATCGGGCCCATTCGTGCTGCAGGAAGTGCAAGATCCCCGGGATACTGTACTGCGCCCGGGCCGCCTCCCCTCCGCCTCCCTCGGGCTGGGGTCCCTTCCCACCGCCGGGCAGCACCGAGTTATTGTTGTTGTTAAAAAAGACTCCGGGCCCTGCCTGTTCTTCCATGGCCAGGCCAGGTAACAGCGCTCGGTTCGCGGAGGGTTGACACGGCGCTTCTGTCTGACGGCTCTCCTCCGCCGCTTCTTCGCTCACTCTGTGGTCTCCGCCTCTACACGGAAAAAAAAAAATCAAGAGCTCTCTCTGCTGGGGACCAAACTCACTTCTGACAGCTGGCTGTCATTCAATGACGTCAAACCCCATGCACACGCCCATAATACATTAGGCTTCCATATATCTATGGTCTTTTTACTGCACTAGTTTTCCAAAGCATGATGGGATTTGTAGTCTTCTCAGCTCCTCGACAGTAAAACCACCATAATTCGGGTTGAATTGAAAAGCCAGGTTATTATTTTAACACAGTTACCTCCTGTCACTGATTTCCCAAAGGTATTCACATATAGAATTCAACTGAAGTACACAGATAATTTAATAGATTCCTTTAATTTGAAAACAATACCTGATGTTTTTCAGAGAAGAGCATACAGCACATACTGTACATGCGAGAAAGAGTAAGACTGTACTTTGTTACATGCCAACTTTGAAAAGCAGCATTGGTTTTTGTGTTTGTGAGTTTAATGACTGTTAATTGTCTTTTATACAAAACATATACAAAATTACTTGAATCAATCTGCATTATCACTTCATCATTAATTATCTCTTTGACTAAATGTACATGTATATTATATAATATAGGGTAATGTACAATTCTTCAGGTTAGTCTACTGATTCTGCTACAACTAGAAACTAAAGTGACTAATACTTTACAGTACAAAAATAAGTCTTGACCACTTATCCAATTACCTCTTGTATAGGAGTTAAAGTAATACAACACATGCAACTGTTTATAAAGCACTGTATAATATAGAGAAACTAATGACGCCTGCGAACCAACACCTACTAGTATGTCCAGAAACTGGCTATCTAACAGTTAAGAGCTCACTGTAGCAGCTTCTAGTCATTTAACTTATATGTATTATCTGTATGTTTAATAGAACGTCTTTTAGGGCTTTTGAGAAACTAATTATTTAAAGATGCACAGGAAACACGAACACAGCCCTTGAGAGCAGGAGATGAGCACCACTGTATTAATTAGACTATCTAATTTGATGAGTTTTTCTAGGATTCATATTATCGTTAATTGCTCATGACATTGGCAAAAGGTGATTAGTGTGTGAAACCCAGCTCTGTTTTATCTAATTAATTTTTTTACAGATAGGGAAAAAAATGATGAAAGTTTACAATACGGTTTAATTATCAGAAATGTGAGAACCCTACAGGAGAGTTCCTTTTCTGAATTGTGTTATTATCCAAATGTTAAGACTCACTGCCCAAGGGTGACTCCAGAGAGGTCTGCCTGCACATTGCTATTAATTGATTTCTTTTATTAATCCACTAGATGATGACACCAAATAAATAAATGGTGTATTGTAAGTAAATGTAGAAATAAATACATTGCAGTGTCTTTAGCCTGGAATACAGTGGAACTCAAATGATGTCATTTGGGAAAATATGGATGAATAAACTATATATATAGACAATCCATATTTTGCAAAAACAAAATCAGCTAGTCAACTCCAAAACAAGTTCAATTCCAGGTCTTGCAACCACTCATGTCAGAAAATAACAAGTGCCATCTGTGTGTTGTGATCTTTAGTAATATATTTATGCAAATTCTGCTGACATTGTAATTTGTCAACTTACAATGCAGGTTTTTGACACAAGTAGCTACTGTCAAATTGACACTTCACAGCTGTCATTCCTTAGAAGGAAACGATGCTGCAGACCTTGCTGTTCACCAGATGAAGAGGAAGGTGTATCTTTATAACTGCCAGCTATCGAACAGGAACCAGAAAATCCACTGAAAACTCACTACAAGGTCAGCCATGAATGTTGTTACTTTTATTACAGTTTCATTCTCATCCTGAAGAAATGGGTTTTTAACCCCCCGGAAGTCATACATTTGGAACAATAAATTGAGACTCTGCATTCTTTTCTACAGATTTCATTTTGCTGAAAAGGTTGTCTCTGGTGCCACTGTACCGGTTGAATCTTCCTTCCCTGAGACATCCACTCGGTAATTGAGGAACAAAAGCAGCATGCTATGGTAGCCATGGTGATCAACATCAAAAATAAAACGCAGTTAAAAGAGGCCTGTCATGAGTGGGCGAATCATTCAGCCCCCAACATATGGCATGAAATTCCTTTGGTGTGTGTGGGTTGAGACTTTTCAATAAATTTGTTTTTAAAATTGCAGAAGAGTTTCCCCATTAAACATTTGTTAAGGCATGTCCACCTCACAGGTCTTTGAACTCTAAGAATGGTAAATCTGGCCTTCAGAAAGTTTACTTCGTTTTTCGAACCACAACCCGCCGAAGTATCTTGAGAGGCTCGTAAGACAAAAGAACTAAATTTAACCAGGGCTGTTTATTTACTGACAAGCCTTCCTGGGAAAGACTCTTGTTGTGCAGTATAGATGCTGAAGAAGAACTCCACTACAGAATCTTTTTTTTTCCCCAAAGCCAAATCAGGTTTTTAAAACTCTACAGATGTGCGTAGCAGCCTGCACTCTCCAAAATGCTTTAATTAGATTTCTGTCACTCAGTTGTTGTTTTTTTGCAAGGGGTCAGGATGCAAAGGAGGGGTGTTATCGCGTTTTCTCTCTTTGACCCCTCGGTAACTTTCTGGGCCCACTTGTTAAAAGATGCACTTTGGAATTAGGCAGAGAAATAAAAACATTATCAAAGCCTACAATAATAGCCAGGGAATTCTAATTTTGTTGTCACCTTGACAACAAGCTCAATCTCCCATACACTCAGCTGTCAAAGGTCTCACTGAGGCCCTGGCTACCTCATTACCTTTTCTAGCTGGGCCGAATAGCCGCCTCCCTCTTGCTTTAAACTTTCTTTGCCAAGGTTACACTTCCTTATCCCCAACATTTGCCTGTTTTTTCAGACCTGTTTCATTTACAAAAGGTACCTAAAGGCAAATGGCTTTTCATTGACTCAGTGAACAAACTGGCTAATCCTGAAAAGATACGGTAGCCTAGTGTGGGCTAAAACGTGGAGACGCACTAAGGTAAAAGTGCAAAGTTGCATTGTGCTTCACATGGAAGGATAGCCTTTTGGCCTTGAGTTCTTTCTTTAACCTTCGATGAACAATTCAGTCATTGTTTCCATAACAAACAAATTTCAGTGGAACATCAAATATTCTGCAGAGCTGCACAAAAGCCATAATAAATACTTAAATTGAATTAATGTCTTCTTCCCGTCAGATCTCCCTTCATATGCAATGGGGTCAGTGGGTCTTTAATTTGCAAGTTGGTCTGTTTTAAAGATTTCGCTTACTCATAACTGTCAGTTTTGTACACTTGAAACCTGCAAGCAAAAATTGCCTGAATGGAGTCCTTAAAATGTCTCAGTTCAGTACCTTGAAGTAATCCATGGCAAACGTTCCTGCTGGGGGACATTTATCAATAACCCTTTGTTAAGATAAGGGCCTTTTAGTACTCCTTGCAGCCTCCAAACTCTGCTAACAGGGCTCCGGCAGTCAAGTCCTCAGCAGCAAAACAGGTGGAGAAGACGGAGCTGATGTATCCTGGAGAACCTGGAGGTGCTGGCAGATGTCGGCTGCAGCAGGAGTGAAGTCTGCAGTCAAGAATGAAGCACTTCGGCCTCCGTGTCTTTGGATCAGGATAGGCCTGGAAGCTGGTGAGAAACTCCGCAATAAAAGCACAGGGCAGAGAGCCCTGTCTCGTTATTCACCTCTGGGGTCAGGGACGACAAGTCATAGAGGGGCAGTCAACACATTTCTAACAAAGTAACACCATTTGCAGTTTGATTTGAATGTGCCCGAGACACCAAGACGGTGTTCTTTAACAAAATAGATTTGTAAAGCCATGGTGAAGACGTGCAGAGAATCACACAACAGCATTCAAGGTCAGCAAGCATGAGGCGTGTTTGAAAGAATTACTTGCTCTCCCGGCAGAGTCATCATAAGACTCTTGATGCCTTTCGTGTGAGCTAGACTCCTGTGAACTGCCAATGTATTGTAAAACACTCATGTAAGACAGTAGTTCAGCCTTAAGTTAGGGTTGTGTAGGGTTTTGCAAAGGGAAATAATAAACCAACTGCACTGAAAGTGGAGTAGTCTGTTGTGCAGATAGCGGTTTGTATTAATCCAGGGGTTGTCAGCATAGTGGGGGCCTGCAGGCATTTGCATAGGGGACATTTCCACCTGCAGTGCTGGGGTAAGTTCTGGGGAAAATCCCAGAATAAGGATGTCATGCTGTTAGGATCATCAGCCCCAAGAATAGCTGAAACTGCAGAAACTTTCAGGATCTTCAATAATGTACAGCACAGAAAAAAATGAAAAGCAGTTAACAAGTCTAGTAGGATCACTGTAAGATCACCTCTGTATTGCAGATCACCGGGCAGGCACGTGGATTTTATTTTCACCTGGGGGGAGGAATTTAATTCCATTTATTGTTCAGCACAAGCCCTGTTTTATAGTCAGAAGCTATAAAAAGCTCATAAAAAAAACAAGAAAAAGGGGAATTAACTTTTGGAATTTGCCTTTTAACCAATACTATTGAAAATGTTTTTTTTTTTTACTGCAAAAAGACAAACTTGGAGCACAGATTAAAGCTGGAAAATTGCATGGCTGTACATATTTCTGTTGCACTACTATTATATTCACTGGAGAATCAACTGACTATGGTAAATACTGTACAATTAAAAATAAAAACAATTAGAATTTGTTGCATATTTGTTCATTTCTAAACCTTTACCTCACTTGTAATAGATTACCCATATTAAAACACCAGAGCAATGGAACTATTAACTACATGGCTGAAGCACTGGTGCTGTGATTTTTAGCCCACAGTCACATTACAAAAAGCCAAGCTCCTCAGCTGCAAACATATAATACTGTGTGAACAGCACGCAAGAAAGTCACCATCCGCACACAACACCAAGTGCTTCAGATAGGTGCTCACAGTTTCCCAGAATAGAATGATATTGCTCCTGAAGGATTAACTTTATTCGCTTAGACATGAATGTGATTAAATTCACTGTTTAAGATCATTACCAATTAAGTTCAATACTCTATCATTTCCAAAAACAAAGGAAGAATAAAAAGAACAGAGCCAGCTGACTTGAAACAAAAATAATTTGCTACACAACCTGAACCAGAGACAATATACTGTACAATATGACAATATAAAACTGTTTTTTTAACTTACTTTATTGCACAAATTACAGTAAGATGACCAGCCTGGGCATCCCTAGCATTGGAAATGACAGAAAGGTCACAGTAAAAAATGTTTTCAATGTATACACCCACTGAAAATCAAAGATGCATGAAAATAAGACACAACAAATAATGAAAGACAATTAATGCTTTCAATGCATTTAACAACGGTGCTCTCTACATGATACCAGATAAATGAATGTAACTTTCTCTTATAACTGTATATGCATATATTTTTGTCATTTTGATTTGCATAAAGTAAGTGTTTAACTAAACATTTGCTGATGAAAAGAACAGAGGGTTGAAACTGTGATGGTTTGGTCTTTCTCTTCACTATATACATTGATTTGCTGTTTTAAACATCCAAAATCTTGTTAAAAAAAAAGAAAAGTCCAGGTAAAGATCACATTTCGGTAAAAAGCTGATTACTTCAATCTTCAGATGTCTTTTTCGCTCGCAACTAATGTCCAAGAAATTTAAAACCACAGCAGAATAATCATGTTAATGGCCTACCTGACCTGTAGTACTGCAGGGGACAAATAGGCACGTGATTTTGTTACACTTTAACATTGTTGACGGGTGACAAAAACACAGTGGAAAGAATTCAAGAAGAGATATCAATGAAACTAATACCTTGATATTTAGAACAGAAGGCTACTCAATAACAGAAGAGCACTTCCTTTTAGCTTATGAGGAAAGCTGCAGGAAAGGCAATCTACTGCCTTAGCACACATTGCAACCTCTGACCCACTCCACAGGACTATGAAACCCCTCAATCTTGAAAACATGTCAGAAATGGAAACCATGTAACTAAATAAAGATATAAACTGAGATATCCTGCATTACAATGTTTCTTCATGGTCTTATCCATCTGCCTGAGGTAGGAAAAGTAATAATGTGAGGTTTGCAATGCTTTCAACTAAAGTGATAATGCACTTCCAAAAAACATGCTACACAGGATGAATTGATGTCTTTCAGGTGTTCTAAGTGAGTGGTAAGATACATGCAAACGTCAGATTCTCTTACAAAGAAAACTAAAAAATAAGGAATAACATTTTTGCAATTAGAAGTTAATTAAATTTAAATTAGATGTAAAGAAATGTTATCTAGTCAGGGAATTCAGATTAAATAATAAGAAATAAAAAAATACTACATTTGTACATACTTTTGTGATATTTAAAACCTAATATGATTATCAATCCAAAATAAAGGCCTAATTAAGATCCATTTTAAAATTGCTATGGTTCATCTGATCAGTACTTTGTACTTTTACTTTAGAACGGTAACATTGTTCAATAAATCATTAATGTCTATAAAAAGGAGTTATAGCCTACTGAAGTAGAGAGAATGTCCCATTATATTTAAGAACTCCCTTTTGAAAATCAGACGTGAACCTACAGTAATATTGTATTAGATTCCATCCCCTTCAAAGTAAGCCCTTGGTCTTGAGCTAGCGAAGAGTTAGGAGTGTCATCTACAGTTCATTTCTAAATCATTGTTAAAGCACAGATTACACATCCTTCAGTTCTGGCAGAATTGTAGCTCTGACGTCACTTCTTTGTGAAAGAAGAACATACGAGATCCGGCAAAGAAATAGGAGGGAGAAACGCACACAGACATGAATAAAAACCCCAGCCCAGGCAAACCTTGTGAAACTCCTTCCAGGAAACAGGTATTTGGTGCTTAGTGTTTGCGGTAAGGGGTATTTGGGGGGGGACAGATCTGCACACTGGTGCTGTAGGGCCACGTCTCGGTAGGCAGGATCCTCTCAGAAGAAGCTGGTCTTGAGTTTGATGGTGGGGGCGACCTGTACTGCAGGCTGGGTCTGCCTGACAGCCGCCTTGGCCTTGCTGCTGGCCTGGCTGGCTCGGATGGCCGTCTCCAGCCGGGTCTTCAGCTCCGGGGCGGCCCCTACGACCGTCTTGAAGGCGCTGGGGTACAAGGGCCCGATTCGCATCAGGTCCTGCAGCGCGAACTCGTGCAGGCCTTTGGAGGCTGGGTTAGCCGAACTGTACGCATTCTCATCCAGAAGATAGGAAATGAGGGTAGGGACTAAGAGAGCAAGAAGCTGAACTCCTTTAAAACAAAAGAGGAGAGAAAAGTGTTACTTGGGATCCTTCCTTAGCCGACAGTTCCTGAAATAGTTATCGAAATTCAAGATTCAACTGTTGCTAAGCAGATGTGGTTGCTAAGGCAGGGAAATACATTTACTTGTTGCAATAATAGTCATCAGAAAATGTGGGGTTCCCCTATGATCAAAGAATCCCTAATTTTTTGAGGTGGGTCATTTATAATGGCAGTTATTAATCAGTACCCCACTTACATTGAAGGACGTGTACTTGTGCTTCAGTATAATTTTCTTTAGAGAAATAACGCTGAGAAGCAATATATCACTTTTCTTGCCATTAATGAAAATGCTAATTACAACATGGATTTCAGTTGTAGTTAAAAGTGAGTTTAATGGTACACCTTTGCACACACATGAAAAAACATAACACTTTCCAATTCTTGAAAATGAGGGTTTGGGGATTTTTAACTTCAGTTAAGAGCTGTAGCTCGTTGTAGCTTTGATACTAAATGCACTGTACCAAAAGTTGCTTCACTTAGAAATCAAGATGGGGTAACAATTTAAAAATTCTTTTTTTTTGAAAATTGGAAGTTCTGAAAAAGCTTTTCTGAAGACAATCGATTGCAGAACACTCCAGTGTTTCTAGGTAAGCTGTTTTACTTCCTAAACCAGTATCAAATCCAGAACCTACAGGCAAACAGAAACCCCACAGAAGTTTGCATTCACACCACATTCAGCACAGAAAAGTATACGTCTCCACACTATGATTTAGCATTTACAGAAATTATATTTTAGAGGAAAGCACTAGTAAGGGAATCTATAGGACCAGAAAATTTCAACCAATGGCATGACTAAAAACTGAACATAGGAGTCTTATCTTTGAATTTACACCAATTCACACTAATGTGATTTTTTAACCATGTCCCGTTTCATATTGCTGACTTTTTACTTAATAAAGTTCTTCAGCAGAACTGCTCTATATACTACTATAAAACAGATTAATAAACCACAAAGAAGACAATGGGAGCTCCATTGTCTATATCACAAAAACAAAAATGTTTGAAAGCACATGCCAGAAATCAGACTGGAATCTGTGGAAACTACAAAGTTAATCAGAAGAAATAAAAGTACAAAGATATTAAAAGCAGAACCACTGCAAACGAACATCCAAAACGGTTTCATAATGAAGGAGGGGTGAAGCTGATCTCCTGGTTTCTGTTTTGTGAGCTCGCAAACAGCTGGCATTTTCAACAGAGTGGTTAATCCATGAATCCGGGTTATGTTGTTCTACACACTGTAACACCAGAGGTGAAACATGTCAAGTCACCTCAGTGGGAACAGCTGATTGGGAAACCCCCTTTCAAACGTGGCATAATAATTTCAGAAGGTCAACGATTTGGGTAAAACTGTTTCCTGAGCAATTGATGCTTGAACTCCAACGTGACTGAAAACCGAAATCTCCTACTAAATCTCGCCTTGCCACTGCATGTGTTAATTTGTAAGTGTTATCTAACTGTGCTGGGGATGATGACTCACTCTGCGTATTAATGATATCTCAAGAAACTGCAGTAAGACCTAAAGCTGTTCATAAGGATCCATGTAAGTGAGTCTGCTGGGCAATTATTCTATTATTACTGCTTATTTATGCAGCAGAAACCAATTTAGTTAACCCAGTCTGCTCAGAGAATCTTCCTGTCAGTCAAGCTGATACACTGCCTCTGCAAGGTGATTTGGACAGAAGCCCATGTCATTAATAAAAAAAACCCCAACAATTTAACCTGAGGCTGTACAGCATAGGATCATCTGATAAATGTATGAAGTGTTAAAAATGCATATTTCTAGAGAAAAGAATCATGAGTAGCAGAGCCACATATATTTTACAAAATCTGCAGCAATTTCCAGACTGACATGCAAGGTTTGTACATATGGAAAAACTAAAACTTTAACATCATGATTCAGTTCTGTTTGTGGGGCTATTCTTACATTTGGTGCAGAAGAAAACGTAACCTGTCTTTGAACACTGATTTCTACAGAAAAGTGGGCAATGGTAAGCATAAAGGAGGGAAACATTTTTCCAGGCACTATTTACAATGCTGGAATTCATTATTCCTGTGTTAAAGCAAGTAAGGGCAGTTCGGTGCTACCAGTGCACCACAAAAGAGACTATGCGATTATCTGCAGATAAGACATGAAGCAGCTCAGTAACAGGAAGTGCATTTATATGAGCTCTTAATAGTCACAAGAGAGGGTTGAAATCGTCTTGACTTCTGAAACAGAGATCAGAGGAGAAAACAATAAGAGTAGATGAGAAAAAAGGTCACTAGCAGAACTTCTATAATACAGCAGTAACAGCAAACAAATTGCATTTGTAAGTACCAAGCTTTGCGAGTTTTATTACTTGTGGTTTTGATTGATGGTGAGTTTCACTGTTTTATTAATTAGTTTGTGTGAAACATAAGAAATTCCTTGCAGGCAAAATACGTTTGTCCCTCTGGGAAATCTTCCTGAATACACAGAAAAAAAAGCTATTTAGGAGGGTACTTTCACACACCTGGTCTGTGTTCAGAAAGGTTTTTCTACAATAAAAATAGCATCACATCTAAGTTGTCCATTTAACTACCAGCACTTAGCTTCCAATATCTCCACAGTGAAATGTATTTGTTAAGAGACAGAGAGATGTACTGTATTGCTTGAACTTCAAATGCTCCACATAATAAAGGAATAAACATATAAACAAATAAATAACACTAACTGTCCTTCATTAAAACAATACTTTTCACAGAAACACCATAGCTGTCACACCTCTGAAAATGAATATGAAGTGATATTACACTTAAATTGTTCCTGTTTCAAATGCTTTAGCTTCCCTAGTGCTGCTGAACGAATCACTGCAACCGACAGAATTAAGAACAATAGCCAGTCCTGTAAACACATTGCCCAATCTGCTTTCTTGCAACTGAAAGAAGACCTGAATTGTTCAGAATATTTACTCTCTAAAATGACCAAATACCAAATTCCGAAAACAATCCCAGGAATCACTGTATTATTCCTGTATTTATTATTGTTGTTAAAAATCAATTACATATGTTTTGAATCTAGGCCAGGCTTTAAATCTCCATACTGACTTCTGCTCAAATTCCCCAAATTTACACGGTAAATCAACAATCACCTGCACTGCATTTTTGCGAGAACAAAACAAATGGCAACATTATCATGTTAAAAGGAAAAGATCAGCTTTCTAAAAGCAACACCTGAGGTGGGTTAGGCATCAGGCACATGTATTGCTTGAATCATCTGATGCGTTACCACTTCAGCGGAGTTGTACTGGAATAAGGCTGAACTTACTGTTCTGCTCCTCTCCCATAGCAACCAGGTTTTCAAGGACTCTAACTCCCTCCTGAATGGCCTGCAGCTCCACGCTGCTGCCTGGCCTGCTCCTCTCCACGGCCTTCAGCTTCTCCACCAGCAGAGGAGCCAGGGCGTGGATGTAGGGGGTGGAGAGAGCCCTGCTCGAGTGCTGGAACACGGACAGCATCAGCTGGTAGCACCTGGCCTGCACCTACACACAGACGCGTTGAGGGCAGTGTCAGATAGCAGGTACTGAGCTGGTGTTCATGGTTAAGAGGTGGCCAGGACTACACCCAAGCCCTTTCTTTCATGCTCTTCCTACACGAGCCTTGGACAGTTCTTTGGGAGTTTTTTGCGTTAGGCTTCTTGCATGCATTTAAATATTTTTCCAACCCCAATTTTATTTCCTTGGCTTCACTCAACAAATAGTTGCCAAAGCTGACTCAAATACACAAAGGGTAACAAAGGTCAGAAAGTCATTCAGAGGAATTCCCCTTTTTGTGTGACTCAAAGAGACAAAAGATATCCCTGAAAGCCCTCAAGGATTAATGTTTGATGCTTTATGTGTAGACCTAGCACAAGTTCCTACCTTCCAGTGAGCAGGAAAAATAATTAAAAAGAACATTGTGTGATAATGAATATATTCTAATACTACCCATTAATAAACTATAGACGCCCTAAGTGCTTGCCATGGCTGCATTAACTTCTTATAGCTAATTACATGCTTTTACTCTTAATTGCAGAACATCCTACATAAATTACTTATTAACGTAATTTTAAAACTAGCAAAACAGGTAAAATTACAATTAAAATAAGAACATGTCTGAACTAAATGAACAAGAGTAGATGCCCCAGACAGTTCAATGAACCTCTCCCACAGGGAAAGACAATAGTGCCACTTAGTCACAGCAAGAACAGGACCTAGGGAAAAACTGTTTTCACAAACAGAATCTCTGTGTAATTCAACAAACCTGAGACTTAGGTATGTTTTGTACTTTACTAGGGATTATACCCTAGAGGTTAACAAATGTCTTACAAATATTTTTCTTTCTTCATTCTGAATCTCTTGTTCACAGGACAAGAAATCACAGGATTTATTTTTCCATGCAGACAACTTAAAGAAAATCTGCAGCCTAAAAGCTAAAACACATGCTGCCTTCCTTTAACCTTCAATGCAAATCGGATATTTCTGAAAGATATAATATAATATGTTTGTCCATATAATTTTGTTTCATCTCATGACTGGTCTGTCTGGGTCAAGGCTGCAGTTCCATATCATTGCTGATCCTTTGTTCCAAGTGCAAAGAAAGATAACTCTTACTCAACTCAGGCCAGATGCTCCCTGTGTTCCTGAGAACACTAGGGGTGTTGCTGTCTTGTTTTCTTGTTACTTAGAAATTGGCCTCTTTAATGCTTTTCAAACATTAATACATCACCATGAACCCATTAAGTCTAATAGAAGACTGGACCTTTATTAAACTGTGTATACCTGCTGTGTGCTTCTTTCAAGGAACCTTAAACCCAGCAAGAAACACTGTTACACACACCTCTTCTGTAATAAGGCAAAGAAAATATACCATGATAACTCAGGGGGAGTTAACATATCTGGGCCTTTTTGTATGCCAGGTCTTGTGTTCTAAACACACTGTCCAATTAAGCGCTGTATATACTAGTAGAGTATTTCTATCTTAACAGGTGCGGCAGCAAGCAAAATAATACTACGTAAAAAAACTAGCTCTGTCAGAGCTATCGCCTAAACTGCTTACTGCCACTCCCCCCACCAAACAAATACACTCTTGCCTGTAACCCTGTTACACTGCCCTTCAGACACGTCACTCCTGGGAAGAGGTTTAATGCATGCTCGTGAAATCCTGTGGGTTTAAATTGGGAAAAAGTAAATGAACACACCCAGGGGTCACTGGAATTCAAGGCGTTCTTGAACCTGTTCATGCAGCCATTCTGCAAGGACGTCACGCCAACTATCTCCGCACTGGCGGACAGCAGGAAGAGGGTGATGGCTGTGAGCATGCTCACTTCATCCATGTTGGGCCTGGACTCATCTGGAGGGTAGAAAACTGCTTATTGAACAAAAGTGGTGCCACAATTAAAAAAAAATTAAAAAAAATAATCAATGCTCATTTTTGTTACCATCCGGACAAACAAATTGTATGAAAGAGTGAAGGGAAAAATTATTTTGTGAGGTTGTTTTTGATCTGCTGAACACAGGCACTTCGTAAGCTGTGCAGAAGTTCTACACGCTCATTTTTACAAAACAACTGTTACAGCTGCATCAAAAATGCTTCTCTTTTAAATGTCTGAGAAGAGTTACCAAAGTACTGCAGGTTAGCCCTTGACAGGACAACTGCCACCTTCTCTATTAAAAGTAGAGTTTCATTGTGATCTCTTCAGGTTTTTTTTACTTTGAAACTTTTTAATTTTTAGTTTTTTTCTAGGTTGGAAACATTAGTAAATTCAAGAACTGCTTCTGGCCCCTGAATTTTCAGGCATGAAGGTCCTTGGAGCCACTCTACCCAAAAAATCAATATTAATGAAAACATTGTTGAATAAACCCCATTTAAGGCATGCAGTTTTTTCTCTCGTTTCTGTAACACAAGGCTAGCGGGCAGCAGTCAGGTGATGCTGTACCTGGCTGGGAGTACTCCAGGACAGACGCCAGGCTGCTGCGGACCAGGCCTGTCCACTGCTGGCGTGTCTTCTCCACTCTGGCCAGGGGAGAGGTGATGATGGTCTTTATGCCCTGCAGAGCAGCAGAGACGGGAGGGGGCACCTGGCTGTCCGCCGTCTTCACGGCGGTCTCTCTCAGCACACCCGTGATCAGGAAAAGAATTGTGGGCAAGATGGTCATGCTCCCTACCGAAGAAAATAAATTACATCAACTGATTTCTGAATCTAAACCTTTCTCATTAATTAGTTTAAATAAGATTCTTGTAAATGCATTTGAAACCCACAGGAAGGCTAACAATTACAGTACAACATCTACAGCTAATCTACATTAATATTCTTCGGGACTTAAATATATAAATGGACCTTTTGTTTTTAAAATTGGTTTCTATTTTGGACTTTGGGCAGGAAAGTAAAAAAATGTTTCACTTTCAGTACCTCTCCCCTAATAAATCCTAATTAGCGGTAGATGTAAACAGTAGAGATGAAGGTGGTCATTGATCTGAGTGCTGGAGACAGCGTGGTCTCTTCAACCCAGTCAAGCCTGTGCTGGTGGTGTGGGGCGATGGGCGTTACCTGCTGGGGAGCAGAGAGCCGGCAGGTCTGCGAGGATGGTGACTGTGGCAGCCACCAGCCTGGCACTGTCCTCTGGCAGGCGCTGGGGTTTGTAGGGTAAGTGGCTGGGAGAGTCCATGACTTTGGTGTTGAGCTGGGGGAGGTGCCGGACTAGAATAAACACCAGCAGCTCCATGGCAGCAAACACCAAGGATTTTCCAGGGACCAGCCCCCCCGTGTCCCCCCCTTCCCCCAGCGTGCAGGCGGCATCCTTCTCACTGGCATCCTCCTTACCTGGGCACAAGCAAAGGCAATGCAAGTCACCACTTTCAATTTTATGTCCATATACCTGTTAGAGGAAGTAGTTCAAGTAGGGAGCTGCGTCAGCAGGCGTAGGCTGCAAAGGAACAAGTAAAGGTTTATTCCATGCTGAAAAGAGATGAAAAAAATACAACGTTTGAAAAGAAACACACAATATTTTGCCCAAGGGCAATACTGAGTGAAAGTAATGTTAAGCAATAGGCAAATGGTGTCACCCGAAGAAGATGTTGTGTTTCTTTTCTTAGCTTTTCAGCATGGAATAAGCCTTTACTTGCTCCTTTACATGTGTCTGGTATTTTTTCATGACAGGGGCAAAGAAAATGTATGGGTGAGTGATGGACCCCACCCTTACGTAAGGGTGCTTCAGGGATATGATCACTTAAAAACCCACAATAAGGAAGTAAGGTGCAGGAGGCTTTATTGCAAAGGTTACAGTACGTCCCACATAGTGGTTTCAAGAGAAACCCCCTTCTCTTCTGTAGCGGTCTGCCCTGACTGTTTCCCACCAAGCACGTCACCACCTGGAGAGCCTATTTGCAACAGATAAGAGTCCCTCGGAGGCCTCTGGTGGCAGATCCATCATTACGGCTTCCCTCCAAAAACCAGCCTGCCAAGTGGTGTGCAAGCTGTTAGCTTGAGAATGGATAGTCGGGGCCCGTATTTACAATCCGGCTTCTTTTCGAAAAAAAAAAAGCTATTGACTTTCCTCATATTCACATGCTGTAGGGATCTGGTGCTAAGCCTTCTGGATAAAGCAAAGTAAAAAACGAAGGTTTTACCAGAGGGCAAACTGTACTGTTTCTCATTGTCTGACTTTACCAAAATTAAGATTGCCCTGCCTGAATTACCACCTGCTTAAAATGAATCAAAGTAAAAAATGAATAGGAAGGCCTAGAATCCATAATGAATTTGGATCTGGAGGTAAGGGGAGATCAAGTGACTCACTCATGGTGTTCCTCTGCTCCTGCAGGTAGTCCTGTGCCGCCCGGAGGGTCTCCCTGACCACGCTGGTGACTTCCAGTTGCACAGAGGGTGGGTCCCGGGTCAGGAGAAGCCGGTGCAGCACGTTCAGGAGCTCCACTCCCAGCATCTGGAAGAGCAGCCCAGAAGAACAATAAAGCCTCCCGTCTTCCACTGCTTCACTCAAAGAACTACAAGCTCTACATGTCCCAGGGGCTGCAGTCTCACAATCCAGATACTCCAATCTGACACAGGTCATCTTATCCAATGTAACAATTTGTGACAGAAAACGTAAAGCCGGTGGTTGCCCATCACTTTCAATTGTATCATTTCAACTTAGTCCCCAGTCCAAAAATCCCTATTCTGAATGACCAGCACATGAATTCCAGATACATGGCCTCTGACATGATTTCAATAAATCATGTTTGATCAAATAATCCTATACTGAAAACAGCTGTATAGCACACTAAAAATCAGTGTAATGTCATAGCAGCTTTACCTGATCCTCTGCAATGTGAGTTCGAGCTTGGGAAGAATCTAGTAGAGTACACAGGGCTTGCAAACAGGACATGACATGTTCAATAGGCTCTTCCGGTCTGGGAAAGCACAAGAACTCAATACTGACACCTGCAAGAAAAAGAACTAGAGTTGGTATGCTATATACATACCTGTGCATGCTGAAGTGCTCATCTACTAGTTTATGAAGAACAGGAGGAAAATTAAAACTGTTAAGAATTTATTATTATCCAGCTTTGAAATGTAAAAGCATAATTAATACAAGAGAACACATCTCAGTACCCAACAGCAGATGCATTCTATCCTTCACCAGATCCTCTGGCTTTTTGGTTGCTGGAGATGTTCCAGAGGCAGAGCTGAAAACAGTGGCCGCCGGACCCCGTGCTGAGTTGGGAGGGGTGTCATCTGTAGTGTCGCCAGCACTAAAGCCTGTGCTGTTCAGCCACAGAGCTACAGCATGCAGGATCGGAGCCCAGGAGTTACGGTAATGGAGCCGAGCTGTGTCGATTGTCTCAGGGGTGTAGAATGCTCCACCTGCACCAAGAACAGGTTAATACACCATAACCAGAATACCCATAACGTAAGAAAGTGTCCATTATCTTGCAAATCATTACGTAGCTGTAAAAAACAAACTACTTTGCTAACACAAAGCCCAGCAGAAGCTCTAGAAATCTATACAAACAGAGCAAAGAACGCTTATTGCTTATTTTATCCTCAATTAAATATAAAAAAAAATAAAATTAAAAAGAGACCCCACATATGTTTTTGCTTCCTGCTTCTTTCCAGTGGACTCAACACGTGAAGTACTAGGCTTTTAATTTGGGATTAGCAGTAGAGTTGCACTGATTTGATCTGTGGTAGTCTTGGTTAACAATGTTTACTTTATTACTGTGTAAATGACCAGATTTATAACGCTAACTACCACAGACATATAGATGGGGAAAAACACTATTACACAGATTTCACAGTGTACTCTTTCCCTGAATAATCAAAAGGTTATAACATTCCACACAGCACTTTATTGTGAGAAATGTGGGATTGCCACCAGTGCATGCTCAGAGCAATTACAAGTTAAGAGGGTTGGTGAATTGATTGTGATAATAAGCAAGTGAGCTACTTGAAACCCATGCTTGTCCACTTAAGAAGGATGACAATTATGACAATTATGATTCTTCTCATTCATCAGCATTCACGGCTATTCTTAGCAGCGGCATAGCTAGGTTTTCAAGGGCTCTAGGCAAATTTATCATAGGACTGAGCCCTTTTCTCATTGCACCAGCTTGTATCCTTTGGTAAGTGTGTTATTCAGAGCCATTACAAACATCACTTTATTAACAGGTAATTTTTAATTCCATAACACAAATTTGCATCACTCAATCTCTAAGTGGCTTTGAAGAACAGCAAATGGTGGACGTTAATTTACTGTTGGCCCAAAACCTTAGGAACAACAGCCTTGTTTTGTTTCGGTAAAATCATCTGCTAGTGCATACAGAATAAGAAGAGCTTTTGGTAAGAGTTACATTTTTTACAAAGTTGAAGAAAAAGAAAGACAATTACAACTGCAATAGCTTGCTGTTATTTGCATTGGTCTTTTTGGTCTAAATTTGTTTCCGAGATGTATTTCTGAAATTACAGCAGAACAGCAATAATAGATAAAAATTTCCTAAGATTTTTAATGCTACAAGATTGCTTGCTTCATTGTATTACACTAATAAAAATAAAGCTAGAAAAACAAAATTAAGCAGAATAAGAGATTACCCTGTTACATTTAGATATTTTGGGATGCTGCTTTGCACTCAGAACTCAAAAAGGGCATTGCTTTGCTAATATGGAATAAGTTACTTTGTTAATACAGAAAAAAATCTCCATGTAATAAGTATTAATTCCTTATACGTATATATCGCTTTTCTGGACACTCCACTCAAGTGATGGGTACTCCCCTGCATCACCACTAGGACGATGTGACTGCAATCAAAGAGAGCCAGTGCGCTCAGTTCACACCAGCTCTCAGTGGGGAGGAGAACAGAGTGTCACAAAGCCAATTCATCGATTGGGAGTATTATGAGGTCATGACTGGTAAAGGCCAAGGCAACATTTGGCCAGGACACCAGGGTTACACCGTGAGAAACTACCCTGGGTTTTTTAATAACCACAGAGAGTCAGGACAGTACAGTGTCACCATCACTAAACTGAGGCATTAAGACCACCACAGACCGCAGGGTGAGGGCTCCCTAGTAGGCCCCACTAACACCTCTAGACCTTAGCTTTTCTAGAAGGTTTCCCACCCAGGTACTGACCAGGCTCACACCTGCTGAGCTTCAGTGGGCTGCCAGCTGTGAGTTGCAGGGTGATACAGCTCCTGGCATTTACACTAGATGGCAGGGGACCTGTAGCTGCAGTGAGATCTAGGAGCTTTAATTAGAGTTGTCCGGCCACCAATTTTCTAACACGAATGCCACAGGAAGTCACTTACCGTCAGGAGGCAGCTGGCTGGCGAACTCAGCAGGCAGGGTCAGCAAGGCGTAGTCCCGGAGGGCGGCGAGCCACAGGCGGCTGAGGGCAGGCAGCTCCGGCTGCACCAGGGTGATGAGGCTGTCAGGAGAGAGCACGTCCACCGTCCCCACATCCTCCTCCTCTTCCTCGCCTCCCTGCACAGCCTTGGGGGGCTTGTTCTCCGCTTCCTTCTTGATCTTCATTGCCACCACGTACACCTGTAAGGGGCGGGATGCCATGCAGGAGTTACCCCTGTACTCACCCTCCTGTTCTGCGCAATTTGCAACTGCAGCTTCACATTGCTCTATGGCAGTGCTTTTTCCAGCAATGTATCACAACTAGAATCATCCTTCCGTAGGGATACTTTCACCTTTGTTTTCGTGAACCTTGTTCAGTGTTTTGTCGTGTAACAGGACACTAGGTAAAGTGAACAGCACTGTGACAATTCTTAAATAATTAAAAAAACAATGCAAACAGTGACTGCATAAAGCTGCAGGTTATGAGCGGCAAAAGCTGCTCGCTGTTGCACAGATGTGAGCGATAAGGACAGTGTTCTCACCTCGGCCCAAGCCTTTAGCACAGCCAGCTTCTCCATGGTGGTGGCGCTCTCGCTGTACAGCTGGCAAGAAGAGCCCTTCCCAGCCTGCACCTTGTCCAGCGAGGACACCAGCAGGTTGTGGACCCTCCGCAGGTCGTTCAGGTCACTCACCACCCGGCTGCCGATCCACGCGCTGCACACCTGCACACAGAGCAGACCTGCTCAACACCAGGGCCTGAACTGCCCAGAGGCTACGGCCAAACTCCAAAGCCAGCAGGAACATAATTTAAAAAAAAAATTTAAGGTTGCAGACTGGATGGAATACAATTTGCGAAAAATGTGGAACAAATTCAAAAATAATACATGGCTAGCCTCTCTTTCACCCTTTATAAATAATCCGCTGAAAATTCAGCCTCCCTCCATTCCCTTCCTGGTCTGCCTATACTTTACCAGCGCCTCTGTGGTACACTGTCTGGCCTTGTGCCTGTGAAACAGCAGTTCTCACGCTGAAGACAGCCTTCTAGTGCTGCCAAACTCTTCAATGACGGAGGGAAAGAGCCTTACTGAAGTCCATGGTATGTTTTCGGAGAATTTTCCATAAAGGTGCTCCCTGCGAGCAGTCTACATGTGTCCTTAAAAACATCTACTAAATGAACACACAGAATCCCTAAAAAAATCAAGAACTTCCATAAAAAAGTATGGATCACCCTGCAGAATTTCGGTGCAAAAAAGGCAGGGAAGTTCAGAGAGTACACGACAATGGGACAAAGTGAAAAGAAGGAAAGTACTAGATCATCTATTCATTGCTTTGGGCCTTCCCAGCAGATTCTTCAAGATGTGCAACATTTTGCGTGGTAGAGAATACCAAATTCTAAAACAATTTAAGTAATCATTTAGATAATACAAGGTCACATCTTATATGCTTTAAACCTCAGAAAAAATACAGTAGGGTCTTGACATCTGTAAATTTGTCTCGGGGCAGAGCAGATGAAACCGAGCTGAAGGTTGTTAACCTTCATCTTTCAGATTGCGGTGCAACAGACTAGGATCATGAGACACATCGAGCTGGTGAGTCAGCCTCGCCCTGCCAACATGGTCCGTTTTTATACTGTTATTTTAATTGACTTAAAGCCAATGCATTCGTACTTTAATGATCATATTACAATATACAGGTAGACTAGTACACTATAGTATATATGTGCCGGTATAGGGGTGGACTTGGTTATATGAGAATTTGGCTATTCACCGCAGGCCTCTGCACCAAACCCTCACGAATGTCGAGACCCTGCTGGATTGTTAGAAGGTTAGAAGCATTAGTAGGTCACAAAACCAACTGATCCCGTGCCAGAGACCACTAATCTCTGTGAAGCCATACCAGCTCTGCAGCAAAGAATGGGCCGGCTGCTCCAAGGACTTGGATTTAACAAGATTAGCAGCTTACCACAGGGCTTGAGCATTTTGTTGAGTTGTGTACCCAGAGATCATTTACAACAGATCCTCTTCAGAACTGGACTAGTTTCAAGGTGGAATAAATCTTGCTTTACTTCCTAATCAGGGTCAGGAAAAAGCAAGTTCCTTTTTGGAAAAAGTTTTGCATGTTACAGGCAAAAAAGAAAACGAGACTTCATCAACCCTGTTCATTTCAACCAGCTCAGCCAAAAATACCCTACTCAGTGTAAACATTATTCAACACTGCATTCAAGTGAAGCACTGCTTTCTGTGTTGAAATTTAAGGGCAATTTAAGAAATTTAAATGTTCATACATTTTCTATTAACAACATCAATGATCAGATTTACTGTTTTCCACAAGTTGCCCCTAAAAAGTTTTACTATTTGACAAATACCTTACCAAGGGCAATACTGAGCGAAAGTATTGTGAAACAACAGGCAAATGTAAGGTGTCGCCCGAAGATGGCTCCACAGCTGAAACGTTGTGTTTCTTTTCTTCTCTTCTCAGCATGAAATAAACCTTTACTTGTTCTTTTGCAGCCTACGCATGCTGACGCAGCTCCCTACTTGGACTATGTGAAACAGCAGCACCAAAATATACAACCTTCTATTTTCTATTAAATCATGCCTTGGTTGTTAAATTCCAATAAAAGGAAAGGTATTTTTTTACAAAAGAGCACTGAAATTGCAGTGGTTATGACCAACCTGGCATGCCTTTGCTGTTATGTCAGAGGGAGTGTCTTGTGAAAAAGCTGGTCGCAAGGCAGCTCCAACCTAACAAAGGATAAAACATAGAATTTGCAAATTCAGCTTAATAATGGATACACATGTGTACATTACACTGATAATACACTCGATATCTTTTTTATTTGCAGACCTAGGCTGTATATCAGCCTTGGAATGAATATTTACATTTCCCTGTATAAAATCTGATTCTAGTTACAGAGAATCAAATTCTGAGCAATTTAATAATCTAACCATATCTCCATGACAAATCCAAAAATTCAAATTCTTCTTGTTCTTTTTATCTGCATTTCAGCAGGTACATGTGGCTCACCACATCTAAAGCACGTGATCCTTTCTCCTTTGTGAAGAGAGGATGGTTATGGTATTGTATTGTCAAGCTGAATATTTTTGGCTTAAACCGCTAAGAAAACTGATTGTTCCACATTACACCACGAAACAAATAAGTACATCTTCACAGCAACTTGCTTTATGAGTCCAACCTGCACAGGTGAGATGCTTTTGAAAGACACTCAAGATGCAGACAGACAAAACAGGACAGAAGGTAAGCTCACTATACAGCTTCCCTTCATGCAAACGCAGCATGGTCTGAGGACCCTGCCCCAGGTTTCCTGGAGGATGAGGGTGGTCTTACATTGGCCTGGTATTGCTCCAATATGACGTGCCCTGGGAACTCTGGCTCCGGGACAGCTGCGAACTTCTTGATTATGTCCTCCAGAGCCTGCAGGCCAGCCATGCGCAGCTGGTTACTGTGGTCTGTGGCGGCCATGAAGGCCATGCGGATGAGGTCAGAGAGGTGGAGCACCAGCAGGTCACCTGAGAGATGGATGATCACATGAAGATGAGAGCAGGGTTGGTTTCAGGGACATGCTTCGCCATTCCCATAAACACTGCAGGTCAGACCTTATTTTTATTACTAACATTTCTAGAGCTCTTTTCATCCTAAATCCCAGATCCCTAGAGCTCAAAGTGCTTCATTTTTAGGAAGGGAGACACTTCACCCACCATGAAGTGCAGTACTCAACTGGGTGATGCTCTGCAGCCATTCTGCGCTAGAGGGTCCATTACACAGCTGATCGGTGGTACTGAGACTTAAGATATATTAAGGACATTGGACTGTGTAAACCAAAAGCGACTTTCAAACAGTGCCACGGACTCTCAAATTACTACTCATTCAGAACCTTGCTTTAATGTTTTTTCCAAAGGACAGGACATCCTACAGAACAGGGTGTCCTCAGTCACCATTCTGAGGAATTGGTTTGGAAATTGTGCTCCAGAGAGAAGAATACCTCCTAGGGGTGATCCAACACCACTCCCAGCTTCCCTTACAGCTCTCCCATCCCACTACTGACCAGGCTGAGACTTGTTGAGCTCCTGACATCCGGCAAGATCAGGGTACAAGGCAGCCAAAAAGCACCGGGACTGCTCAGCTGATATAAACAGCAATGGATCTGTCAATCTCTCAAAATATTATGCAGCAACGAAAGAAGACTGATTGCAGAGCCAAATTCTGAACCAAACCTGTACCTACATGTCTAAGGGCTAATTTATTCACCCTTATCAAGTTGATCAAACCTACAATATTACCTAACCAAATGCCTATTTCAGAACTACTGAGCAGAAAAATGAACATTTCCAATAAGAACTGGTTACATAAACACTGCAATCTATAACCTGTCAGTATGAATCACTTCCTACTGCTTACTCATTTGTGCTCTCCCAGGTTCAGATTATATAAGAGAAGAGAAACACAATCTGAATGAGTTTCTTGATTTCTCTCTCTGTTGGTTTATATGCTTGTTTTGTATGTCTAAAGTAATTTGCAGCTTTCACTAAGTGTATTTGACTTCCCTGTAGTGTCAATGCCAGAGAGTGACAATAGGGGTGGAATGAACACCACAGTTAAATAAAGGGTTTTTCCACATGAAATATCATTTGTGATAAAGCTGCTTTCAGCCCCTGACCCAGATTGCACTAGAAGACTTCAGTACTTCTCCTGCCACTGCAAGTGCTTCTGAGTGAATTATTTGGATACACTCACATGAGCTAATTTACTAGTCATTACTGGGATAAATATGCACTTAGTGAGAATTACCATAATCCTGCATTTGCTAGACTTATTTCTTTTTATTTAGCTCTTGACTGAAAGTGACATTTTTCAAGAAAAGTCCATTTTGAAATCTTAAATATTGCAGATTGATATCTATACATATTTTTTTAAATGTAAAATAGTTACATATAAGGAACAGATCTGGATTAAACGTTTTTTTAAATACAGCCTCAGTTGAAGCATAACAATGCAGCACTGCACAACGTTGGATCAACATGTTTGCAATGGCTTAGAGGTAACCCATGGATGAAGCACAAGGGAGGGACAGACCTTTGGGATTCTTGACCTTAGATGAACGGGCAGCGGCCAGGTCAAAGTGGGCTTTGTCCGCGTTCTCACACAGTAGGATGATACGACACAGGCAGTCTGCGGCAAAGACACGCGTCACCCAGCGGGGGGCGACAGAGGGCTTTGACTTATTGTCCTCCCCCAGGGCAGTGAACATGATGTCATCGTCCATCTCATCCTTCTTCTCCGAGTCCTCCTCCTCCTTCCCGGCTTCCACAGGGACAGCAGCCCCGATATCTAAACAAAACAGCCCCCATTATTGTTCACAAATACAGCCATGGACACCCATGTACACGATCTCTGCTTCGATCTTTAAACAAAATGAGATCGATTTGCATGGCATATCAGTTGACTTGTACTGAAAGAAGAGAAAACGAACTGCTGCTGGCTCGTTACCTGTAGAGGCTGCCAAAACATCCTTGCAGAGTTTTAGCCAATGAGACAGCTTTTCCACAGCCAGAGAGGACAACATGTGACCCAAGGTGTCATGAATATCGGAGCAGAGCTTCTTGTCGGTCTCCCTGTCCAGCATGCCGAAAAGTACTCCCTCCAGCCCAGTCTCTGTAATATTCAGGTCTGCCATTATAGGGTGAGAATAAGGGAGATCAGGAATCAGTCAGCATTTTGATATGCTTACACAACACATTTTCTAAGTCTTAATTATAATATTATAATTCATTTATGCAGTAGTCTGTTAGCTAGCTGTAAACAAGTGTGTTTCGTATTTATGACGCAACTTTTCTTACATTAGTTCTCAGAATTACACCACACTCCCTCAAGTTCAGAATTCTTTACCATACTTCCTTATCTTCACCATCTACTTTTCGATTCAAGAACTGCTACCTTTCAGAGTGAACTACGCCCTTTGACCCAGCTACTCCAGTTCAATCCCCTTGAATAAAACACAATGTCCAAGCAAGCAGAAGAAACAAAATGCGATTCCAGAGAGAGAAGATTAGCATACTTTTAATTTCGTATTCGGGCAAGATAGACCATGGAGTGTTTTTTTTTTTGCACAACAGCAATTCAATGTAGGACCCATTCAAGATAATGAGATCACTAGGAATGACTCACTGGTGTAGACAGGGAAGACACTTACTAATGACGGTGCTGTCCTTGCTGTCGCCAGCCTTCTTGGCCAAACTCATGGCGTACGCACACACCTCTGCCGCTTCCCTCTGTGCTAGCTGTCTCAGGCACGCCACCGCCGCCCTCCGCAGCAATAAGTGGGAGCTGCAAAGGTGCACCTGGGGGAGACACATGTCAGGATGAGCGCGTGGGATGCTATTTTAGGTGCTGCACCCTGCCATCCAGAAAATAATTAAAGAACAGCTCTCTTCCTGGGTTTTACGAAGTAGATACAGTGCCTTGGAAAAGCATTCAGACCCTTTAAAAGGTTCCTAATGTTGCTGGATTACAAATTATACTGACATTTTTTTCCAATCAGTATATTTATTGCAAACTCACATGCTCAAACAGAAAAGTTTTAAAGGCAAAATTAGTTACTTGTCAGCAGATTAAGAAAGTCAATAACTGAAAACTGTTAAAGGCTCTGAATACTTTTGCAAGGCACTATATGTACTGCCATGACCTGACAGCTTCTTAACCTGCACTCTGCAAATAAGGTGGACTGTCAGTAAATCTCCTCTGCAAGAGGCCAGAGTGTACAGTCCTTCACCCCCTGGCTGAAATTCATTGCTTATGTCTGCTCTCTCACTGAAGATCTACGTTAATACAAAAACAAGCCTGTCACCTGGATGAGAGTGACTTATAAGACAAACCTAACTCTCAGATGCCTGAGTTAGGAATCACCTACCCAGCTTCTAGCTTCAAATATATGTCCGTGAAACTAAAATATTTTAAAATGGAAGTCTGGGTTTTGTCTGTTTAAGGAAGGCAGAAAGTTATAAGATTTTTTCCCATCCAAGGGAAAGGAGAAGTCAAAGAATTTTGTTATTAACTTATAGTTTTCCCAGAACATCAACCATCCAGCAGGGAGTAGTAAGATGCCTGTGGCCCACAGAGGACTTCAAACAATGGATCAACAGATTCGCCAGAGACTAGGGCTCCGCTCATCACCATTCACATGACTGTCACGGACGCTTTCATGTTTTGAATGTTAATACAAATGGAAACATAAAAGGATGAAGGGCCGTGAGCTTACACAGAGACAAGGCACCAGGCTGGAGAGGTTGACGTGGCGTGGGGCGAACATGTGCAGCTGCTGCAGGCAGGAAATGGCAGCCGCCTGAACCAGCGAGTCAGAGTGGTCCTGCATGATGGCACAGCCTACCAGGCATGACGAGCGGATGGTGGATATAGTGGCGCTGTTACCTGGCAACACAGAGCTGGAGTGAGCACAGAATTTTAATCTTCAAATTAAAGGCTAAATCAGGCAAGATCAGTCCATATTATCATGTTTCTGGGAGAAAGCACTTTATGTTTAAGAGAAAAAAAAACTAAAAATGAAATACAAAGTCTCCTAACCGATTACCCACAGAAGAGACTAAAAAAGAATAGTTTTAGGTTTTTTAGAGCGTTAATGTTCCTCTTTACATATTTCCCATCAATTTACATAACATACTTAAATTTGTTCCTAGTTTCATTGTGCAAACAGGTTTTAAATAAAAAATTATGCGACAATCCCATATACTTCTTTTTATCCTGCTATCCGCTGTTGTTAATATCAGCAGAAATGAGGACTCAATGTAACCCTCAAGATTTTTTCTTAATCTTATTTATTTGCATATAATGCTGCATAAAAGTAGGATCGGATTTTTTCCGTAGCCAAATAAAGTAATACTGCCATCTTCTGGTGCAACCCATCTACTATTTTATCAAATACATATTTTTAAAAAATGACACTGATATTAGATTTCAGCAATGACATGCTATGACATGCACGAAACTGGTTGCAAAAATAAAATGTACTAGTGGAAAGATTTTCAGTAAGTTAACGGTTATAAAAATATCATCCTAGGCCTTGAAGTCAACACACAGCACTGCTGGCAAAATGTTATGGCTACAGAGGTGAGGATTCCCTGGGGTTCCCTCCTTCAAAAGCCTGCTTTTTCTAGTATCATCACTTTTAGCTGCTGCTGCCTTTGCTGGCATAACTAAGGAGTGAAACATGTTGTTGCACATTTATGGGCAAGAAGTAAGATCAATGTCCCGGCCACCCATGTGTAACAGGGTGACCCAGAAAATCAGGAGGCACCTCCATACGCAAAGGCTTATAGGCATCTGGAATATGTTACACAGCCATGTGGTTGAAGGGGATACCCTGGCTTCCTTCGGGAAATGGCTCGACGAGCTCCACAGATCAAATTGGCTACGAACTACTGTACTGGAAAGGGCTAGAAAGGCTGTATGGGCCACTCTCGTTTGTCACCATTCTTATGTTCTTAAGGAGGCGGTGGGGAATCCCTCCTCACAGAGAGGGCAGCTCGTCACCTTGCAGCTCAGGCCCCACGGTGGTGATGAGGGCTCCCAGGCAGCGGCCGAGGCACTGGTGCACCTCGGTGTGCGACGGGGGCACAGTGAGCAGGAGAGTCAGCACCAGGGACAGCGTGGGCTCCACATAACCTCGGTACATGGGCCCACTGGAGTCCACGATCAGAGCCAGGGAGTGCAGGGCCCATGTCTGGAATGGGCACCGAAACAGAAGCCTTTTCTTAACGCACACAGACACACAACCGTGCACTGTATCCAAACGCATGCGTTCTTTTTTTCAGAAGCCTAGCTTGTCTTTGTCTTATGCTTCGTTTACATGAGTTTCATTCTGGACTACTACTGCTGCCGTTAGATTGTGCTATTTTAAATTACTAACATTAAGTGGTAATAATTAACACAGAGTGCAGTCTGTCATACTAATATGCTCCTCATTGAGATGCACAAGCAAATCGCTTTGTTTTCTACTGCAACAAGCATTTTGTTATGGTAGAAGACTGAAATCTTGTTGGCCGTGCTATGAAAATTAGATAAGGTGAGCAGTGTTCCACATCTACATCTAACAGAAATGCCTAACAGCGTTTATAATTATGCACATACCTTGGCAATATGAAACCTTGACAAGTTAATTAAAAATAGAAAATAATCTGCTGTTTACTAGATACTTAAAACACAGTTAAATTTCTGGCTCAGTCTCTGTAGGTGGGCGATTCCTGTTGTCCTACCTGGACCTCATGGGAGGTTCCATCCTGTGCCAGTGCTAGCAGGATGCTGACGCTGGTCTTGAGGTGCTGTCCCGACCCAATCCCTCCCACGTACCGATGAAGACAGCCCAGCGCCAATGAGTGGCCTGTCCTTGAGACCACATCCCGGGCGGACTTCAGCCTGTGGAATGAGATTCAGGAAATCCAGGAGACTTTCGGGACTGAAACATGACGGAAACAAACTTTATTTGGGGTAACATGAAACATCTGGAATAAAATAACCTGTCTTGATACTCTTACAGTCCTTCATAACACTTAAAAGGTTCGAGAAAACCTTCTTCAGAATTAAATTCTTTGGCAAAAGTCGTCTTAAAATTTCAGTCATAAATTTAATATATGAAAAATATTTTTACCGGCAAAGCATTATAGCAGAAAGGAAAAGAGGATATAAGAATCTCATATGACCTTTATTAATTTAAAAACGGACATCCTTGGATTTGAAAAATAAGTAGAATGGGCTAAGAGTAGATTTTGCTAAATGCTACAATACAAATTCCAATGCCTATAACAATGTCTACGAATCAGAAGAGGGAGGCTGGGCCAGTGAGCTGTGTGGCCACGTACTTGTCAAAGCTGTACTGAGCCATCCTAGCGATGAAGGTGGCTTCACCCACCACCTGTGCCATCCGGCCCAGGGCTTCCCCAGCGGCACACCTCAGGATGGGGTTGGGGTTGTCCAGGGCGCCCATCACCAGGGCCAGGGCAGATTTCCGCACCTCTTCGGGACCGAGGCTGCTTTTATTCTCTGCTAAGCCCTGCAGAGAGCGACAGGGGTGGTGGTGGGGGTGGGGGGGACAAATTCCCTTATGTCAAGAGAGATCAAAGCTAATGATGCTTTCTGATTGTCATGCCTGAAAACATGAAAGAGATTACAATTCAAATAAAATCTTCAAATCCTTGCAACTCTTCGTAGTTCTTAACTCAGTGAACACTCTTATAACCATGAATATGAACAAAAGAAAGCTACATCCAGCCACATAAGAGAAGCGGAAGGGGGTCTCCTAGGAGACAAATAAAATAAAATGGACATAAATATAATATGAATAAATAGAATTTTAAATCAATATAAAGGGATAATATGACACAGAAATAGCAACCATGATGCATGTTTGTGGGTTCATGCTTCATGCAGAGACTCACCTTGAGAGCGCTGAGCACTGCAGTGAATATATTGAGCTGTACAGCTTGCTGCCGAACGCCCTTAGCCTGCTTGATACATTCAGCAAAGTGATCCAGCATCTGGAGCCTGTCACCACACAAAGGGATCGATCCTTTAACCATATCCTGAAAAGACAGCTCTGAAGACACGCTGAGATGTGCAAGTAAGACGTTGAACACAACCCCGTTTGGTTCATTCTTACTTTTCCTTCATAGATCAGATTTACTGCTTTTGGGTCACTCCATGTTTCCCCTAGATAAACCGAGTGATCCTCACTCACACTGAGAGCACAGGGGGTTCCTGGAGTTCTGAAGTACAAGTGGAGGCCTCACCTGTGCTTAAAGGAGACGTGAGGGAAGACGACCCCAAAGAGAGCCACAGAGGCATCGATGACCGAAACCCCCAAAGGCAGGGGGCCGGGGATGGCCTCGCCTGCAGGCACCCGCAGGTAAATGGAAGAGGGGTCGTGTTCAAGAGCACCGCTCCCCGAGGCGCTGTTGGGCTGCAGCTGGGATGGAAGAACAGCAAGTCGTAAGCATGGCGGCCAGAGAAGGCAGAACGGCCATCTTGAAGAGTGTGAGAGACTGTTTGTAGGACTACATTTAGAAACAGAAATTAGATAATAAGCAGTAGGGCTCATAAGTGGGGTTAGGCAAGATGAGGCACTGTTTTTAAGCAGACACAAAGAAAATAATTTATTGTTCCCGATGCGAATGTATATACTGTATCAAGAAGGATGTGGCACTTCTCCCCTCTGTTCTCATAATGTAAAGGTTTATCGTAAGATTTCAATTTTCCTTTGTTTTACTCCAGGTGACGAATCCCATCTACTGTGCACACATAAAGCTCTTCTCACGCACGTTCCTCTGGACGCCTGTAATTCTGTAAAATCACCTGATCTTCAATGGACTTGTGATCTGTCTCCTGCAACCAGGAGCCCATGAGCACGCTGTCATCGTAGTGACACAGTGACCGCAGCAGAGAGGTGGTGGTGTTGGCGGAGTTATCAGTCAGTGTGAACTCTGCGACCAGCTCCCGCAGGAGAGCACTGAAACTTCCTGCACGGCAACAGAAAACAACAGAGATCCCAGTCAACCCCGTTACCGTGGCATCCGATTTTACACGTCTGAGCACTGGTTAATTACTGCTGGAGAAGAAGAAAAATGCACAACCAGAAATCACGGAGGTGCTGTCCAGAAAAACATAACATAACATAAAAAAAGTAGAGTCAGCTGGAGGCACACTTTTTACTCCAAGATACATTTTATCTACACAAACAGTCAATGTTTAGGCACAAAAGGCTTTCATCAGGACTAGTTACGAGCAAGTGCTCATCAGTAAGTGCAAAAGACACAAATACATAATTATCTTTATGGGGCTCTAGAACTTAAGATACCACACACTGATTAATAATATATGGAAACATAAGGGAAGGCTTCAGGCACAAGGTCTGCATGTTACCTTCATATGTCTTGGGGGGTAACAAAGCCAAGATGTCATAGAGCCTCAGGCGAACCATGGCAGCACTGGCCTTCAGGTGGGCGCCATGCACTTTTATCACTGAAGGAATGCTGAGGAGGCGGAACTCAGTTACTGCATCGCATGACATGACCTTCCCTGGAAAACACACCGCCCTACACCTCTGACAGCATCACCTGGCATCTCAAAAAGTCCTCAACAGGCTAAATTAAAGAAAAAGTTCATTATGGAATGAAAAGATCCATATGGCTCATTTCAACTGTAACTGCTTGTATTAAAAACTCCACAAATGCAATATGTTCTGAAATAGCTCTCTTTGAAATTACTATTATTAAGTTCCAGGTGTAGTGCACTGTAAATCATCATTCCTGTGAAACCAGTATAATTTCTTCACATGCCATGTAACTGTAAAATAGGCATATGCACGCAACTAGCATGTCCACAATATTTTGCATTCTGAATATTTTAACAGCACAAGGCAACACAGCTGGCTTCTAACTGCTATTAAAATGCTGGGCTGGCTGGCAAAAGCTGCTCAACAATATTAATCTCATGTTCAGCAAGCAGCTGCCTGAAGTAGAGAAAAATCACTGAACGTGCTTCCATTCAGCTGCAAGAAAAAACATTCCATTGTAATTAAAACCTCACACTCACTGAGACATCATCGTCATTGCACACTCGATGGGCGTCATCAATCTGCGGATCACATCCTCAGTCAGGAGCTCAGGGCAGTGAGCCACAAAACTCCGCATGGCTGTTAATAGGAAAGGAGGCAATTCATTAATCAAGAATCAGAAGGAAATCAAGATGTCCACTCTGTAGTATAAATGCATGCTGTAAAGCCTTTTGAGTTTGAAACAAACCAACTATGAGAAAGACTTTTTTGAAAAATCAGCAAGGAGCAAATAATGCCTATGAATTTAATTAGCCGATGCACTTACAGTATATTAACCTTTTTTTATTATTAAGTCACTAACTGGAGACAAGAGCGTGTTTTAAAGATTTTAAGGGTGAATTAAGGACTGACACCCTGAACTTAAAGAGTAGAAGAAATTCTCAGAGTTTTAAAGGTCTTGGCCCAAAATAATTTTTTATATGATCTCAAAGTGATCATTCGGACAGATTCCAAGTGTTTTTTACCACAGAGTGCGCCAGCACGGCCCTCCAGGGTGACCTGCCAGGTGAAGGAATCTCCTCGGGCCTTCTCCGCCTCCAGCTCCTTCTGAGAGCGCGGAAAGACGTTCCGCCATAGAAGCAGCATCTTGGGAAGGTGGTACCGCACGAGGGAGGGGCCTAGCACACAGCAAGCATGGCGAGCATGGTCACCGTCACGTCAGCATCACAAAAAATGTCACATCCGACGCAGGAGGTGCAATGAGAAGCTGCTGCCATTGAATGCACTGCACGCGACCGGGTAGGCCGCGCCATGACAAATTGTTGGACCGTTTAAAAACGCGGCAGCCAGCAGCAGAAACGCACCTAAAGTCATCAGTGCCCCTAGGAGCAGCCACCCAGCTTGTGTGCGCTGGAGGGACAGGCGGCTGTTCTGCGCAGCAGTCCGAAGAAGGTCTTCTGCAATGCTCACCACCATCTGAAGACATATTTCAAAAGGAAGAAGACATGATGTCTAAGGAATGATCGCTAGTCTTTAAGACCAGCTTCGGTTTGCGAGCCCTCTTCATAGTTCGCATAAGAAATGGGAATGCAGCCTGCCGGCTGATACGGACCTTTCCCTTGGCATGGGGAATGCCCAGGGGACACTGGTGTACGCCCCCCAGCAGGGCTGCCATGGCGAAGCTGTACCCGCTCACGGCCTCCGGCGAGGCCTTCAGGTTGTTGATGCGCTCGGCGCAGCGGTCCAGCAGCGGAGTGAGCTGGTAGGGCAGGGCCACGGCCACACAGCGCAGGCACCAGGCAGCCGCCAGCCGGGCAGCCATGCTGGGGTGAAGGAGCACAGAGCTGACCGTCTCCAGAAGGCCTGCCGGCACAACAGAGAGCTATAATCAGGGAGCTGAGGTGCCATGGGACCCCACTGATAAGAAACCCTGGGGAAATTGTCAAGACTGTTTTGTATTCTGAATATTTCAAAAGCACAAGACAACATAGCCGGCTCAGTTCAAGTGTTCGGTTCCTAAATAGTGTTCCCCTGCAAACTGTCACAAACTGAGACATAACAAAATCTATTCATGACGAACATCTACAAAGCTCCATGTGGACATTGAACTCTGACTAAAAATGCATACTCTCTCTCTCATGGAGAGATCATTAGTTCTCCTAGAAGAGCATTTAGGCAACCTGCATTTGAGACCTGAAGTGTTACATTGGGCCGTGTCCATTCTGGGATTATCGTCCTGTTTGGACAATCGATCTGAAAGCTCCAAATCCAGAGAGCAACAGAAAGAAGCAGAAGAGTAGTTGTTTCAAATCTGGAATCACATACTGTAGACAGATACCACAACTGTGGAAATTTGTCTTTGATTTCTCCCATAAAAAGTACATCAAACATTAAACATACAAAAGCAAAACATAAGTGTTACTTAAGTCACATAAAATCATAACAGCACATGAATAGATGAATAGATGAATGAATGAATCAATCAATCAATCAATCAATCAATCAATCGGTAGTGAACTGGAAGTAAGCAGACCTGACTGCATGCAGCTCAGGCCCTGCAGCTGGATACCCACCGATGGAGGGCTCCTGTATCAGAGGCGAGGCAGTGGCGCTGAGGCTCTGCACCAGGCTGCCCAGCTCCTTGAGCGCGCACACCATCACGTGCTGACTCGCCGACACGTCCGCCGCCCCCGCCTTGTTCTCGCTGCTGGCGTCGTTCACCACCGCTTCTGCAACGCAAAGGCGAGGCCTCTTTAACGCTCATCCCGCCTTCACACACCAGCACCGCCCTCCTGGCTGCCCACAATGAGCAAAGCCGACGCGGCGTTTCGTTCGCGCCCTCATCACTGATCCGCTTTCAGGGTCACAAGGCGGAGATGGTCAAACAAGCGCTCTGACCACAAAACCGGTCACCCTTACCATCTCACATCACACAATTCCTCATGATAAAGCACTGTACCCTGAAGGAGAAATAATCATTTCTGAGTATAAAATTACTGATAGCACCTAAACTCCCACAAGGATGACTGCAATCATTCATAACCTTCACACAGCTCTGCTTTGGGCTTGTGTGCTTAATTTGTGGATGGCTATGGAATAATAAGAAAATTAGTAATAATTTTGATAGTGGATAAAAACAAATTACAATACTTTTCAAATACAGTACATAATTTGGAACCTTTGTAATCAAAAATGATAATTATGATGCTTCTATAATAGTATTTCAATAACAGGAGCTCAAAATACAATTGGAAATATACCTCTTATTACAATATTAATTAAAAATGGTATGATTTCTAGGGTACCATTTTTCCAAAAATATTGGATAATTTAGCCATACTTCATATATCCAATGTTACAATGAGCTCTGGTGAGGAATTCCTCAGTTAAAGCTTCAGTCTATATGATCGAATACATCTGTGGAATCAAATCTGGATTGTATCTTAAACCAGACAAAGAACTTCAAGATAGAATATCATTCTATCCTTGTCCATTATAACAGTTGGCAGTTCGGGCTCTGAAGTTTTTTTTTTTCAGTTTGCATGTTGAAAATTTAATTTGGGGTTTGAATTATAAATGAACAAGAGTTTAAAATATAGTTAAGAATAGTATGCAACAGTGTAGTAAAGAGGTACTGCAGAGGATCTAGTCAATCATGGTACAGATTAAATCTTTCTCTTTGGCCTGTGGAGCTAAGTTCCATCAAAGTTAATCACTTATTTTTCTAATTGAAATCTTAGTGGTTATGCATGACGTAGCTGAGTGGAGACTTAACTTCTGCAATGCTAGCCAGATTTGCAAATAATTGCATTTAATACCCTCAAAAATTCTGGTGTTTGCAACTGCTCTTTTCAGGGGAATAACAAACAAAAAACATATGTAATCAAACAAAGCAAAACAGTTTGGAAAACTACTACAATCACCATCAACATGTTACAGTTTGTGTCTCGTCATGATGTCAGAACACACGAAAGCCAAACTTCAGAGCCCAGATGTTTTAGGAAAGTGTCAAAGAAACGGGTGTTTTTTATTCAGACCGTGATTTCTGCATCAGAACAGAAACAGCTTTGGAACACACCACACAAAGACTGGTTTCAAAGCAAATCACAGAGTAAGAACATTGGAAGGTAACAAAAGCAAAGCAAATAAAAATAGTGAAACTTTGGCATGGTTTTCTTAAAGCTTGGTGTGACAGTCAATGACTGTTACACCATATCATGAGCTAAGTCTTTGAGGAAGCAACAGAAGTGATGTTGGCTGTGGATGATAGATACCCCAGCTGTACTGAAGTTCTCATGTTAAGAAATAAAAGACAACACCAGCCCAAAGGGTTATTTCTTTAATGCAAATGCTGATTTCTTATACTATTTATCAGTATTTTATCAGCACAGAATGTAGTTAATCTGAAAGATGTGAAGAGAACATACTGTAGATGCTGAGAAAAAGAACGGTGTGATTTTCCTCATTTTTGCATGACAAAAGAAGTGAGAGCAGACGGGCAAGCAAGCACGACAAGGCAAACACTGCAAAGAAGGCAAGCAAACTAAAAGTTTAAAAAAAGTACTTACTCTGTAACGCTCTGAACCTTGACATTTCCCCCCCATCAACAAGCTCCTTACCAACGGCTCTCATCTGTTTGCTGATGGCCTGGCATATCTCCTTGCCGGCTGCGATCTGGGCCTTTTCGCCCAGCAGGCCGCCCAGCGTGGCGCGCAGCATGAAGGAGACGCAGCGGCGCGAGTAGACCGCCTCCACGTGAGTCTGCGTGGCGCGGGGGTGGGACACCAGGTCCAGCACGTGGGACAGGAAAGTGGCAAAGTTCCTCTCCAGCCACTGGCCGCCAAGCGTGGTGACAAAGACCACGTAGGCCTGACAGAACAGCACAGGGAAAATTAACTTGTTAAATTGAAAATGAAAGCTTTCAAGCTCATTATAAGTATGAAAAGATAAAAGACAATTAATAATAAGATCCATCTATGCATTATCAGAAATTTGCTTATTCTAGGTAAGGGTTGTGACAGCCTATCTCAGAAGCACAGGGCCCACAGCAGGATTACAGCCTGGATGGGACACCTGCCAACTGCAGGGTATATGTAATAACAGTGGCAACAGGAACCACAGAATAAATAGTTACCTGAGTGACTCCCACTCGCACCTCTCTGCTGACAGATCCACCCCCTTTCAGCATCTCCCCGCCGCTTTTGAGGAAACCCGAGCCGCCCCGCAGGAACCCTGTGGCCATCAGCTCCAGCACCTCCTCCAGCGTGGCCCGCTTCACGTTCTGACGCATCACTGCACCGAGGGGCACAAACCGGATGTGAGGTCACTTGAAACGGTATGGGCTAGCCCCTTTCTCATAGGGGTTTTCAGATACCTGGGCAATTCTATAGCCATTGCAAAACAGGACCAATGGCAAGCTGTCTGACTAGACCATGTGCAAAATTTCTATTTGCATCAAATTAAAAGATTGTTGCACTCAGCTATTAACATTCTCTCACTGATACATAAGAAATTAAATCATTCTCAGTACTCCTTGCACTCCATGATAAATGCTCTCATGTTTTGGACATTCCCTACTTCACTGGCCTGTTGCCTCATTAAGGCTCATATGGTTTCCTTATGATCAACCTACCTTGGAAAAGTAATACTGAAGACCCCTGTCTACATGTACATATTCTTTTGACCACTATTACTGCATTTTTAGTAATGCAATTATCTCCGGTCAGCCACAGGAGATCCTGAGTTTGCCTGAAGAGTAACTGCGGGTACTTCCAAGAAAACCCTGAGGAGTCTCCCATCTTGATCAGAGCGCAGAGCAACAGTAGAGGGCACAACGCTGTCCTTACCAGCGGCTTGCTTAGGCATCAAAGCAGTGGCCATCACTGTCCCCAGAAGTTTTGCCACCGCTACACGGACGCCGTAGTTAGAGCCTTCAAGAGCCTTGAAGCACAGCGTGGCCACATTTTCCAGCTCAGTGGTCCACATGAACACAGCTTCATTCTGTAGCTCCAGCAGGCACTGTTAGGGAAACAAACACCATCACCATCACCACTAGTGATTTTAACACTACAGTATAACTGCCACTTCCACATCGCCATAAACCCAAAATACCTATAAGCATTTTGCTACAAAAACAGTGCTTTAGGTAGTAATTAGGGAGCTGCATCAGCAGGCATAGGCTGCAAAGGAACAAATAAAGGTTTACTCCATGCTGAAAAGTGAAGAAAAGAAACACAATGTTTCAGCTGTGGAGCCTTCTTCGGGTGTGTCACACCCAAAGAAGGGTGTCAGCGTTGTCACCGTGTCAAACGTTGTGTTTCTTTTCTTCTCTTTTCAGCATGGAATTAACCTTTACTTGTTCCAGTGCTTTAGGTTAACTAACTTAATATTTTACTTCAGTTTTCACAAAATATATAGTACAATCTAACAATGTTTCTCAAAGAGGTGGGATTTGTGTTTCCTGGTAATTAAAGCAAAGCTGTCTCTGCTTTATATCAATTATGTCAGTTTTTTTTTTTTACAATATTTTTGTAAGATGCTTTAGACTTGTTTAGTAAAATCAAGAGGTACAGGTCCCATATGTTTTGACACCCAAAGGATTCTGCGTCTGTCGTTCATTTCCCCCTCACCTTGGCGACCGCACATCGCACTGCCATGGACCTGTCGGTGAGCAAAGAGCGGGCGTTTTTGTAAATGTCCCGATGACAAGACGCTGCTGCCCCTCCGAGGCCATTCAGGACCTTCTGTAAGCTGAGCAGAATTTCCCCACGGCCTTGAGACTGGGGGAGGAACAAGACCACGTGTTCACGAAGCGTTCAGGAACCCTAGCATCCCTCTCTCAGCCGTCTCGGTCACAGGCAAAGTTATTTGGAAAATCAGTTTCTAACAAAGTGTTATTAAGGTTCCGACAATTCAGACAGTACCTCTGCACTTTTCAGTGCCTTCAAAAGGTTGTTGATAGTATCGGGAAAGGAGCTGCCCAGCATTCTGCCCATCTTCTCGTAAAAGGCTCCGACACAGGCCACCGCAGCACTGTGACAAAGGAAGAACACCTTTTATAGGCTGCAATGACGCACAGCTGTTCAATTGGCAAATGAGAATTGTCAATTCCAGCTGTGACAGCTATGTAAGGATAAGGTAAGAATTAATGAATGTTCATTTACTTACATCCAAATTAAGAGTGACCTACACTTAATTACAGCATGTGTGGGTGCTGTTTTTCTTAATCCAATAAATTTATTCAATAAAACGAGTAAAGGTGGCTTAACATTCATATTGATTTATTCAGAAATGGTGCAACATACTGGAATACACATTTATCATTATGCTAAAACTGAAGCTTTTTCCTTCTATGTGTTCTGGTAACAAAGCTTAGGAGAGTGTGTTCAGAAAGAGGGAAACCAGTGAGAGCTGTAAATGGTGAAGAAACAGTATGCGATTTCTCTGGAGATCGCACACAAGTAGAAAGCTTTTATCCAATTCTCACAACACTGCAATTAGGGATATTATTTTAATGACAAACCATTTAAAATTGACTTACCTCACGTAATTACCCTAAGATTAAAGATGTCACCTTGAATCTACCAAGGATGGCTTATGAGATTCTCAAGTGTCTATGGCATGATACAACTTACTTTGCAATATCTCTACATCACCAGCACATGCACACTCCTGCTTTTACAAACAGAACAACATGAATGCATGCAAAACACCCTGCAGACACTGGCTCAGGGCTGGCTCACTGCTCACTCACAGCTTGGTTGGCAGGTAAGCGGGCGTGTCGTCCTTGCTCTTGATGATATCATTGCACTTGTCGAGCGTCTGGAAGACAGTGAAGGTGTCCCCGATGTTGTAGAGAGTGGCCAGGTTTTTGGCCAGCAGTTTCCTGGTCGGGGGGCCCGGAGCACTGCTGATCAAGCCAGTCAGCTGCTCCACCAGCTTCTTCTGCTTTTCCTTCACATCCACCTGTAACAGAGGTACACACACCTTCAGAGGAGGTACGTTCCTGGCTCACCGCTACTCTGCCATCACTGCAGACTCTGTGCCTCTGCTCTACTAAACAAGTAACTCCGCTTCAGCTGGGTGACCAGAAAACAATAACGCTGTGAGAAACCACGCTCCTTACAATGGACTGTACCTGGGAAATTACAACTCAAAACTAGGCATTTTAAGACAGTCTGAAAATTGTCACAGATTTTCTGATAGTAGAAGTAGTGTGAATCGTGCTAACAAATTCACAATGAAGCAATTCGAAAGGAATTAAATTTAGCATCAGGTACTGACGCACAACTTACCTTGTTAGCAGCAACAAGAACCTTGTCCAAAAAGCGTAACCACTCAAAGATAAACACTGGCCTCTTGGCCTCTGTAATCTGAGCCAGGGCATCTTCGTTGAGTAACAGGCTGTGGGCTAGCTCCATCCCACTGCAATGTACTGGAAGACAGGTTGAGCCGCTGGAACACTGGTGAAATCGGGGTGCCCTTTACACTGAAATGTGCCACTTCTGTGAATCTGAAACAAATCATTTATCAGGGACTGCAGAAGATTCAACGACTTCAATCTTCTGAGCAAGGAAATGAGATCCATGAATTGTCGGAGGCTTGAGAACACTAATGTGTCATGACGCTGTATAGTTTTGGAATTAGACTAACCCTTATGATGAATGTATAACTGAAGACTCACTTGTACAGTTTCATATTCATCATAAAGGTCTACTACCAGCTTTACAGTATATAAGCCACGCAAACCCTCCTAGGTAATTAAAGAAATAGCATTTTTGCCCATTGGCCAAAGCCTAAAACAATATTGTGGGAAAGGATAAAGGCAATTAAGTTCACTGAATACACAACAGAGGCCGAAGAGGAAAGCAGGGCTTCTTTGTTAAGGGTTTGAAAACTTGTGTCGTTATATTTCAGATATGTTGTACTTTGCATTTTTTGTTTTGAAGAATTCTATCAGAAATACAGTATATAATAGCCAATCTACAACCATTACTTCATATTCCTTTAGAATAAGCGATTAAAATAAAACAAAGAAAAGCATTTTCACTTCAACTACAATTCAGTGTGTACTAAAATATCTGTTCAGATGAAGGGAAATCTGTTACAGTTTGATCACAGATATTTTCTGTGACCTAAATAGAGAAGTTAAGGCTGACTGTTGAGAATTCACAGATTATACGATCAGGTTTTAATGGCTCTATTTCTTTCATCTGTTTTGAAAGATATCAAAGTTAAGGAAAGAGAAATTTGTCAATGCAAGACACAGGTGCAGAGTATTTAATAGAACAATTAAAACTACTGTTCTAATAATGCAAAGATCGTCAGATAACTTCCTCGGGATGACTAGGTACAAAATCCCTGGCAAACAATTTTGATTACTGAACAAATACATATTATGCTTAATGTTTATCAAATTAAATTATCTTTTTTTTTTGTTGTTGTTTGAAAGTAAAATTGGGCACTTCTGAAAATGCAGCTGCTTTTGTACGGTTCTAGTACGCTACGGTCATTATAGAGTCGGTCATTATAAAAAAAACCCAGCTAAACCGCAAGAACTAAAACGCAAACTACAGTACCTAACAAATAGCCCTTCGAGGATCATAAAGACTGTCTCTACCTGAAACATAAGAACTCAGTGTTACGAAAAAAGTCAGTAAACAGATTTTGATTACATCATAATTTTTTAAAACTTTGCTGTATCCTAAAAGATCAATATTGTAAATACACTTTTTATTATTTCGTATTTTAACTGCGGCATTTCTACTATATATGTTGAAAGCGTTAGAAAACAGTACTCTCGTTAATGCGCAAATCGATCACAGAGATCCATTTATTTTTTGATATTTCAAGTGCCGGTTAAGCCTTCAATCTTAAAACCTTGAGTAACAGTTCGTGTTTTTCAGAGGATTTTAGTTCTGCGTGGGTTTTCTGCAGCAACACAGAGAGCAGAAGAATGAAACGTAGCTACACATAAGAAACAGCTTATGACACTGACAGTACACGAATTTACCAAGACTCCGCCATGACATCTATGAAACACCAAAATATATGAATTTTAAAAGAAACTAGAATATTTTAAAATGATAAATATTACCCTCATTAAAAGAAAAAATATTTTTTTTTCTTCTAAGAAAGCTAAGTGTCCTTCAAATGTAGCTATGGCGATGCAACTCGTTTTTGTCTATGTTCTGTGACCTAAATTGTTATCCAGAAATGGGTTACGTAAACGAGGATCGCTAAACAGTTTTTTAAACAAGATAAATGCATGTTTTATTAAACGACAGCATCCCTTCCTGTTCCTTTACTCATACGTGCGCACAGAATTTAAAATGAATGGACATTCAAAACAACCTTGTAGGAATCCCAAAAACACAAATTACATCAACATTGTTCTCATACTAAGCCCATTGTCTACAATGTCAAGTCAATTCAACACCAAATTAAAATGTTAAAAATGCAAAATCCGAATATTTTTTCCAAATCCCTTAATTCGTACCTGCAGTTCCACCACCACGTACAGTACAGTAGCTAGACACAAGTGACACTAAAATATGTCCGACTAGAAACATGACGTAAGTTGTAATATACATATAGGGATATTTATTTTTCCTTGACATAATAAACCCTTTTAGCTCCATCGGAAAAAGTATTTCCATTAATGTGTCCCCTTTTCTTTGTAATATAAAGTCTTTAACTTTATAAGGTGTTGCTGAGGAACTGACTATTGTTGTACAAAGGTGCTAGCCGAGATTGAAACGGTGAGACACGGGAAGAAGAAGAACAAAAACTATACCAGCGCTTGTTTTGCAATAATTAGGAGAGGCGTTATTGTTGTGAAGTGTCTTTAGTGAGATGGCAGGCAATGAAGATGATTATATGTCGGATTCATTCCTTAATCAGATGTAAGATTTTATGTACTGTTATAATTGCATAGAAATAACCCAATTTTGATTAGACGGTGCAGGATACAATATTCTGTTCTGACTAGCAGGTACTAAAATCTAGGAAACTGCAGAAATTAAAATGATTCAGTCACCACCATTGTTAAAAATTGCAGGTGGTTAAAATAACTTGTATGGAAAATCGGAGAAAGGTTTAAATAAGTTAAACGAAAATAAGAAAATTTACAGAATGTCGTATTCAGAACTTTAAATCTTTCATAGACGGGGACTACAGATAGCATTTTTACAACCGTATACTATAATCACTAACCCTGGAAAACCCGGACACCTCTCTTGTTCACTCACTCCTGTCTGTCTGGTGTGTTTAAAAACTCTGTCCTACGTTTGGTTGTTGTGTCTCCACCCGAAGCAAGGACGTGAGGCCCGGCGTGCCTTTGCCGAGGAGGGTGAAGGAAGCGCAGAGGAAGGAGAAGCTGCACATGGAGAAGAACCTCCAGAGCCGGCAGAAGAGTTTGAAGGAGCAGGAGCAGGAGAGGAGGGAGGCGGTGCTGCAGAGCTCCATCGGGAATGAAAACAAGGGCTTTGCGCTCCTGCAGAAGATGGGCTACAAAGCAGGTCAAGGTCTCGGCAAAGAAGGTCGGTGTCCCTTTCTGCATTTAGACTAGAAAGCCTTGAACGTTTAATTGGAGATGAAGCTTGCCTTCAGCATAAGGGTAGCTTGTTTTATTTATTCCTGTCAAATTTCTCCTCATGGTCCACAAAGCAATGATGTTGTTTTTGATTCTTCTCGTCTGTACATTCACGCTGTGAATATATATGTGGTATATATATATATGTGTGTGGTGATAGACATCTAGTTAATGTATTGTTTGTGTTTTTAAAGGGGCTGGCAGAGTTGAACCTATCCCATTGAATATCAAAACAGGTAATAATAATACTTTGTGTTTTGTGATGTGAAAACTTTCAACTTTATTTGTGGTCATTCTTGTATGTCAGAAAAAATAAAAATTAAATAGAAGTTAAAAACAGGTATGGCTGACCATTTACAAATGTAATGGTTAATATATAATATTGGTGCTGTTTATGGTGTGAATTAAGATGAAAAAATATGGTGAAAATGAGAGAGTTTGTTTTTTAAAAAAAAGTCTCAAGCTATGTTTTGAACAGAGCATGTTAAAATCATCAAGTCATCTTCCAGTTATTCGTGGGTATTCAGTAAATGTCTGGACACATTCTGTATAATCTGTATGATTTGACCAGCTGAGGTGACTTTATTTGTCCTTATTCAAATCCTACATATTTCACTCTCGGAAGCTGCAAAGCTTTCAGGACAGCCCTGTGCTTGTTATTGATTAGATCGAGGAGGAATTGGGATGGAGGAAGTGAAAAAACGAAAAGCTGAGGAGAAGCTGGAGCACTACCGGCGAAAAGCAAACTTTAAGCAGCAAGTCGAGAAGAGAACATTGGATGACTTCAGGTAATAGAACAAAGAACAACACAGATTCTGATAGTTTGTATTGCAGATTGTAATCCCTATTTGCTTTCTTGTATCTTTATCAGTTATTTTATTTCATTATATTGTGGGTAACTATTTATTATTTGAAGAACTATGTTGCAATCAGGCCTGATTCACCAAATGAAATAGGTTTCTAGTGCCCAGTGGTCAGTGATCTGAGGTACACAATCTGCCCCTAGTTTAGTACAGTGTAATTGGATGTTTTTAAATCCTGAGGCTTCCTCACTGCTCCGGGTCCTTTCAGAGTCAGACTGAGAACGGAAAGGGAGGAACGACAAACTGATGCAGATCTCAGGAAAAGCCAGCGTGCCTGTGAACAGCTGGACAGCCAGAAGGTTAGTGACAAAACAGTATCTCCCATTGGCTGGTTTACCATGGCTGGGCTTACAGTCTCATTACACATTTCAACTTTTTTATTTTACATAAACACTTTACATGTCTAGGGATTTAACCAGGGCATAAAGCCTAGCATTAATTCTCTTTTGGGTGGCTGCTGGTGTTGGATCAAGGCCTGGCTCAGGAGCAGTTATGTTTTCTAGTTGTTTTTCTGAGGAAACGTCACATGGATCGATGTGCTATTTCTCCCATGTCCTCAGGGGATCCATGCCCCCAGGGAGGACTGGTACTGGCCAGTGTCGGGGACTGAGGAGCCGGGGGAGGAGGAAGAAACTGAGCAGGAAGAAGATGAGGGAGAGGAATTAACAGTCAGTGATACCCTTTTCACTTTCAACCTTGCTGCATAGGCCTTAAAATGTGTCAAGAAAACCAAGGGAAACAAAATACTGTTTTCTCTCTGCCTGTGCGTGTAGATAACCATTCGATTTGCCACGAAGCATTTAATCTCCTTACTTGAATACCAAACCTTTTAAGATTGTTGCCAGCTGCAATTAGACAGCTATAAGATCTGCAGAGTCTCATGAAATCAGACAGAAATCTCAGTTGTTTGTACCAAAGGGATGTTTACCTTGGGGATCCCCATTACTTGTAAAGTGCTTTTAGTGGAGTGTCCAGAAAAGTGCTATGTAAGTGTAAGGATTATTATTATTATTCTTTGCTTTCAACTATTTGATTAAGAAAGAGTATTACTTTTTCTTTTTCTCAGCCTTTGGAAAAATTACAGATTCTGACTTCATATTTGAGGGGAGTGCACTTTTACTGCATATGGTGTGGGACATCGTACGATGGTAAGACTAAGAAATGCATTGATTACTGCAGGATGTACTACAATAAAGTTCTAAGGCCTATCTTAAATATTTAGCTGATTGTACCTGTGCTTCAGTACTGTACTGCTATAGCTATACATCTCTGCTATAATCCATGGCCTCGGAACAATTATTTTTTTTAAATAACTGTTACTTAGATGAGTATTTTTTCTAACTTCATAGGCTACAAACTACAAAACATTGTAATATTCCTTTCTCCTTTAGTAGGTTATAGACTGAACATACCTGAATTCTCTAGGTCAGTGTTTCCCAAGTGGCATACCATTAGGAAAACTTTGCATTATTCAGGGCTTTGACTGTCACTATGACTCATATTCATGTTTGTCTAAGCTGCTCTGTAGAAAAAAGTAAAGAACTAGGCTGCAGTAATGATTGTTGTAACTAAATATGATCATTTAATTTACACCTACTAATCTACACCTCAGCAATAGTATATTTTATTTTTACTCTCTTAAAAATATGCAGACCTTTTGAGGCTCTGAAGAGATCTTAAAAACTGCTTTGTGGTGGACTTCTCTATTTTGTCCCATTTTAAAAAATTCTGCTGGAACTATTATTTCGCAGATATTAAGTTTCCAAGGTAACGACTGTTCCAGTGACGGTAATGAATGCCCCCGTCACTCCTTGAACACGGAAGAAACGTCGTTGTTGTTTTTGGGAAAAAAATGTTTCAAAAGTAAAATTTTATATATAGTATGTTCATTTGAGAATGTTTGCTTTGACATGCAAGCAAAATTGTTCAAACTTTTCATGGTAGGAGGTGGATAGGTTTTTGCCCAGCATTTTTGTTGACGCAAGTATGCATGCTGTAGGCTGGGAATTGACTCAAGTTATGTTGCCCTGCAGATGAAGAAGACTTGACAGCAAACTGCCCTGGGGACTCGTCTGCAGCCCATGACTGATCAGACCAGAAGAGGGGCTGAACAGGAAACTGAAACTTTTCAGATGATGCCCTTCCTTCACAAGAAGAAGGAGGAGGAGGCCCTTCTGGGAACAATAATATAGACGGAACAGGTCTAGATGTGGGATAAAGCTGATCCTACGTACACCTTGGATGTGTGATTAAGTAGACGTGATCTGATGTCCACAATCACAAAACAGCAGACAAAAGTTTACGGTTTACATATAAAGGAGATAAAGGTTCACAATTCACCGTGATAGATCCAATTAGAGCTGAAATACTAACAGATATGTTGACATTGTAAAATATGCATTAGTTGTGTTGTTGTGGTCATGAAATGGAATACAAATAATAACATGCAATTTTATTTACAATTTTTTGCAAATTGTGCAATTTTATGTATAAACATCATAAACATTTATGATTTAAACATATAAACAAATAGAACATCATTGCTTGCATCTAAAATATGAACTATTAATAATGTGTTTAAAATGCAATGGTGTATTTGTTTTTAAGTGTATTCATAAAAGTGGTTAGTACACATTGCATCTGTGTTGTTTAGTTGTATATTTTATGTACTGTCCTTTTTGTAAAATGAAAATAAAATATTTTCATGTGTTGCAGTAGCTTACCTTCGATAAAGCATTTGGTCGAGTCTTGCAATAGGGTGTAATACAGTCACATTTGCACTACTTAAAGTTGAAACATTGTTGGTAATGCTTTGGTCATTTGTATCACATCCATGAAGTTCAATGCAATGTCCAATGTTAAGGTAATTCATTGTTTAATCAATAGTATATTCCTTTTTTTGTGTTTTAGGTGTTAAAATATATGGGTAACCTAAACTAAGAGTGACAGTAGTTATAAAGAAAAGACCAGAAATCTAAAAAAGCATATCTGAATATAAAAAATCTTTTTATGTTGTTTTGCAGTGTGCTGGGATAGAAACATTTTCAAAGGTTAAAAGACACGTTCTTGTTTGCAATTTGAACGACATACTTGTTCAGTTACCCGGAATGTAATGCATTTCCTAAAATGTTAAATTACAAAGAACACGTATTGGTAACTGAAGTTAGCACGCACAAATCATTCGATTTTTTCCATCCTCATAAATTGAAACCACGTAATATCATCATTTTAGAAAGAAAAATCCTTCTTAAAATGTAACTTAACCCCAGGCCAGCTCCCGTCCTGCAGTGTAGTATCATATTTTAGCAGGCTGGCGGAGCTGATTGGCTGCGCAGTACCGGTAGTTGTTCTAGCTGTGACGTTTGGAGTGGGAAATGAAACTAAACTTTGCTGCTGAGCTGCAAGGGGAGAGAGGGTGAAGTGAAATTTAAAGTCAGTCGTGCACTAACCTGCAGGTACGGCAAGCACAACATAGGTTTATGATCTGTAAGTATACTGATATTTATTTGCGAGATTAGAGTCAACGTCGGGTTTTAATCTTCAGCTTCGTTTTGTTAGGAGTTGGTTCAAGAACGGGGGATTGCAGCAGCGTACACGAACGTTATTTTTATCGGCAACTGTAGTACTGATACTGGTTTGATTTAACACTTAGTGCGCGTTCTCCAGCTATGTTCCTGCAATCACATTGTAACAATCAGAATTATTTCTTAATTATTTGTATGTTTTTTTCTTTTCCATAAACAATTGCTACGGGCACACTGTTAATTGCTTTGTGTTCTTCATTTTTATTATAGTCAAGACTCTTCTATGACATAGGCAGCATTGTTTACAAGTAGGACTTCTCGTGTGAAGGAATCTCGTTTTATGTATTTTTTGTATAAATGAGTTATCTGTATCGGTTAATGTTATTGATGTTAATGATGGTGAAGGTGACTAAACGTCATTTGTTCTGTTTGCAGTGAATCAAGCTTAATATGGCTTTCAAGTTACTGTTATGATATTGGAGTAAGAGGTCTGCATTAAACGTCCAAATAGTCGTCTGTTTTCCAAAGCAAGAGAACAGTATCATAAGAGAATATTTATATGACCACTCGAATTATGCTACTTTTTGTGAGGAAAGAAAAGATATGTGTTTAGCATATGCTACATTTTGGCATCAGTGTTTTGTTGTTATGATGTTGCATTATTAAGAAACTTTAATTATAAGATGATACAGTTTTTTTAAAAACATGTTTCTCTCAAAACCAAGATGAGCTGTCATTAATAAAAACAGTCAAGAGTACAGAATTACAGTAGGACATTAGGTAAAGTATTTAATTGTCTTTCAGGTATTTTTTACAATGTCTCAAATGAATTATGTGGGAAGACTGAATGAATATCGACAAAAACATAATTTATCCCTGCAATATGTGGAGGTTTCCGCAGAAGGGCCAGACCATGTTAGACAGTAAGTTTTATCCTAAAGTTTGATCAAGTCTTATACTGTAGGTTCAAGATTTTAAGCAGCTAGACAATTTAGAGTGGATTGTGCTTATTTCACTGAAAAGCTGAAAGGGGCAAAATGACAACACCTCCTAACTCATTCATTCCACGTTCAAAATCATCATGTAGCACTTTATGGATCTGAAAATGTATATTGAGTAACAGTACAGTGATAAATGTTATACTGCAATCACAATAGCATTGTACAAAGTTATATTTATCATAAATTGAATTCCATTTTTTTCATTTCTAAGTATTCCTTTAAAATCCAAATTTGACAATGATATTCTGCAAGACAGTGTTTTGGAACTATAGTTTAGAACCTTAATGGAATTATATTCTGGAACTATATAGATGCTTCAGAAGATTTCCTGTTTCCATGGGGAATTAAAGGAGGTAACACATTTAGTAGGAACATACAACATGGTTAAGACTACTTGTAAAGTGGCCACTCTTGCAGGAAGACGATGTAAGCACACTACAGGAGGCATCTTGTGAATGTAATTCCTGCCACCTGGAGGATTTACAATATGTTACACTCTGTCACCTTAGATAGGGGCACCTGCTAAGCTCACAACAGCAATGTGTTGCATTCAAGTCAACCATGACTGGCCGGCCTTCACCAGCTGTCTGCAGCTGCACAGGAAGAGTGGTGGACAGTCCCACAGGACTCTGTCCAAAGGCCAATCAGACCTATGCATCAGTTGTGCTGGGATTGTGTTCATTTTTCAGAGGAGGCTGAGTTACTAGAGTAACTTTATTTTGTAACATTCTCACTTTGAATTTCAGAAAATGTTTTGGATTTCTGTTCTGTGATTCTGCCTGACAGTTATATTCCATACTTAAAATATTTGATTAAAACCCGTTAAGAGTTATTTTTTTGCACTCAGTACGTTTGCATTATTGTGTTATACAGATTCACAATGAAAGTGGTGCTGGACAGTCAGGCTTATCCTGATGGCGTTGGAATGTCTAAGAGGGAGGCGAAGCAAAATGCCGCAAAAAATGCTTTGGAAAAGCTATGGGTCGAAGTTTCTCAGCAGAATGACCCTGTGAGTATCAGCGTGGGCGGTTTTCTCTTACTCTGTGCTTTCCTTGACCATGCTTACAGTATGTATACTCAAATAAAATATACCATCTGTCCATTTTAAATAATAGCTTAGACCAATTCAAGGTTGTGGTGATCCACTGCCTAATCTGGCAGACAATAGACACAAGGCAGCATGCACTTTGAATGGTACACCCGTTCATTGTAGAGTGTACATACAGTTTAGAGATGGCAATTAACCTAGATATCCACCTAGTAACAGAGCAGGTCTTTGGATTTTGGGAGCAAATTGGAGCACCCACATGGTCTTGGAGAGATCATGTGAACTACACCTGGGAGGCACCCCCAGCAGGACCCAAGAACTGTGAGGAAGTAACATTAAACTGCAAGACCCCCTTAAGTAAGACCAAACAATACGTAAACTTTGTCTGAATAGAGGTAGTATGTTCTCCCTGTGTTTATGTGGGTTTCCTCCAGGTGTTCCAGTTTCCTTCCACAGTCCAAAAACAAACTGGTGGCTTTATTGACTTCTGAGAAAATTGGCCCTGATGTGAGTATGTGTGTCTGTCTGTCCTGCGATGGACTGATGTCCTGTCCAAGGTTGTCTGTCACCTTGTGCCTGTTGCTTGCCAGGAATAGTATCCAGCTCCCCCACCACTCTGAACTGGAAGTAGCAGTTAGAAAATGGATGGATGGATAATTGATTCCCAAGAGATGCGGAAAACGTTTACTGAGAACCAGCATTAGGGTCTGAATTTAATTAGGAAAAAAAACCTATTGTGAAATTTTAGAACCTGTGAATGAATATAAAATCTGCTTCAATGCCATTTACTGCAGGTCAACAGCAGCAGGGAATCCAGTTGTCCTTCACCTGTGTCTACTCAGGGAATTAACCATTTGTGCTGGCTGAATGAATATGGTCAGAAGAAAGGGGTACTTGTACAGCCCTTTGAGAGGAGCGATGGAGGCCCACCACACATGCCACAGTAAGAATTTAGCCACCTCAAAAAAAAAAACCAAGCGGAGAAGAGATGAGTTCCCATCCAGAGGGTTGCTTTATCGGACGGGTAACGGGGTGTTTCACTTTTGCATCTGAGACGAGACAGTGGATGTAGCTTGGATTACATAATTGAAGAACATCTTCCATGCTGTATAGAAATGAAGTGGCTGTGGTGCTTTACAGTATTGATCACAATACTGTAAATTAGCGTTAAATAATGTTTGCGAAGTACAGTCTGTAGGAAGTCTGAATAAATGTGCTGTGACACTTTTTTCACAAGCGTAGCCCTGGGTCAGTAGGCTGATTTACTGGAGGTCAACATTAACATTAGACATTTTGTGGTCCTCAAGCGCTACAAAGTAGTTTGCACAATCGGATTCTGAGGTTGAGACTTCCAGTGTCTGGGTCACAGCATAGAAAGTGAATAAAATGTATTTCTGTTTTAAGCACTTTAGCATATACAGTACCGTTTAGTCCACAGGAGAGTGCTTTGAGGTCTTGTATTCAAATATCAATTAATCCTTATGGGATTGTATAGTTAATTTCACTGTTCACTGGAAAGACTGTCAACTGAGGGGTTATAATATGCCTCCCAAGAACAGGCCCTGTCCCTGCTTTGATAAGCAAATAAGAATTTTCTCTTAGAGTATTCTTAAAAGTCTGTCTTCAAAAGGATTATAAGTGTCTCTTGTCTTGTAAAGTTGCAGGTGGTGCTTACTCTCTCGCCTTTCCGTCCTGATAGGTTCTCCTGCAGATTCGCCATAGGCAACAGGAATTTCCCAGAAGCATTTGGGAAAAATAAGAAGGATGCGAAGAAAGAGGCTGCCAAGCTTGCATACGAAGCTCTGCAAGAAAAGAGTACACCTGAGGTAACGGAGTCAGGACCAGCTGCTGCAAACTCGCTTATCCCATGATGTTTTAGGAATCAGCGCCTCTCCCTCATTGTCTTTTGGAAGTAATCATTCTTGAAATAGTTTTTTTGTGTTTTTAAAACACATAAAATACCCCTTTTTGATGTGCACATAGAACTGCAACACTATAAAGGGATGCAATAGTAAAGTTTCCGAAAGTGGAGAATGATTCTGTGTAATTTGTCGAAGAAAACACACACTTTGAACAAGATATCATTATGATATTTGTATTGCACTTTTCATCCCAAAGAATCCCAAGGTGCTTTGCATATAGGAGAGTTTCCACTCTTCCACTAGTGCAGTGCAGCACCAAATCTGGGTGTACTTGTGGCAGCCGCTATCGTCCAAATGGCATCCTGTCCTTTAAATGTAGCTAGGCCTGACTGTGCAAGTCCAGATTGGGTTTTAGCCAGAGCAATGACGTTAACACCTCTGCTCTTACGAACAGTCCCCTGGGATCTTTAATGTATTCAGGTCTTTGGTTTCATGTCTCATATTAAAGATGGAAGAAGACTCCATAAGTCTGTAGAACACATACATTCAGGTACTCGGATGCTAGGCTTGATGATAGTGGGAATATGGTTATTTGTGCTGTGTTCTGTATTGCATGCTTTTAATGGGGCTGTCAATTGATTTAAACTGGTCCCCTTGCTGTATTTTCTAACCAATATCTTTGCTTATTCACTAACTGTCTGTTCCTTTTCAAGAACCTTAATGGAAATCATAATAAGGACACCCCCAGTTCAAGCAGAAATTTGCCCTCAATGTTGTCATCTACATGGTACGCTGTTTTATTTTCTTATTGTAGATATACAGCACTGTAGACGAGGCCATTAAGAAAACCTTATTTAATTGGGAATCATCAACAAAATCCTTTTCAAGTCAATATACTTATGTTATTACTTTAAAAAGCTATTAAAATAACTGGCAGATGTAAAGCCTTTTGAAAGAGAAAGATGTGAAGAAGTTTAATATCAACTTGGGGAAAAAAGAGAATCACTACATTTGGATACCTCTTAAAAGAGGGTTTGGACCCACTGAGCATTCAGACTACTCTGTTTTCCATGTAGTGAACCACATTTTTCACTAATTAGCATCTGAAAAGCATTTATTGTTTTTCTTTTATCCTTTGTAGGTTGACACCTCCATCTAGTAGCCCAGAGAGCACCCCAGAGAGCAGGGTAAAAACATTTCAGAAGTGTGTATTTATTATTCCAGCAGGGCATTGCGCGTTTCCAACATTTTCTTATCTTTAAGGTGGTTAAATCTGAAACCTCCTGTATTCATATACAACACAAGCCATGTGATTTCAGATATTATTCACCACCCTGCATTTTTAATAGATTGTAGATGAATTTATGTATTAATGTGCTTTTCTTGATGAGGTTAACTACATTTTGTATGTTCATGCATCTATTGTGGAAAACAAGTGGAATCAGAAGCTTGTCGCTTTATTCCACCTACTTTAATTTGACAGTTAACGTCCACACATCACCCCTTCATTGAAAACATATTGATCAAGTTGTAGTAAAATTTCAGTTATCAGTTATCTGTTATTTTATCAAAGTTTTCTTTGGAAATGGAGTATTATGACATGTTCCTGGGTATTTATGTCAGGTATATCCAGAGAGGTTCTGCCCCAGAAGTAAGCCCAGTCACTGGCTGCCTGAGTAACTTTTGCCAACCCACTTGGTCTTGCGTTTTTGGAAAAGAAACAGAGCAGGGAGCAGGGAAGGTTTATCTGAGCCGCTGTGCATTGGACAGTCTCAAAAGCTGAGCGGTAGTGTAAGATGTGAGTTCTGAGTATCTCTGTCTTTTTGTTTCACTGTTGGTTTTCTTTGTCTCACAGCCATCTACCAGTTCAACATCATCAAGCACTGGCACGTCATCACCTTCTGCACACATGGGGTAAGTCATACAGATGTCATAGGATTAAAGAACAGCTAACCTCTGCACAAACCTTTTTGTTCATTTTTAATGGAATTCCTCATGACACTTAAGATCTTACTGCTGTTTTTTTGTATTTTGCTGTGTTGTAAGTAGCAGTATCCTTACAACTCCTGAACGTTTGAATAGGGATGATGAAAGTGATTATATTATCTTCAGAGACTCCTCTGATAAAAAGGTAAGCCGTATGTTCTTAATATCATTATTGTAATTGTTTGTGCTCACTAGTACTGCCCCAAAGACTTCACTTCAAGTGAGTCATCTTTAGACATTCAGTGTGTCATGACAGATAACAAAAGATCATGTCCTGAAGTTTTCATTCAGCATAAAATGAAATGGCATGCAATCAAAGATTGGCAGTTAGGTTTCATCAATTTTTAATGGGTTCTAAAATGACAAAGCAGTTTTATAACCTGAAAATTTGTATAAAGTTTATTTTTAATTTGTACTTCGGCCATGCTGTTCCTCATGCAGACTGCTGTGTTTCTTTAATTTATTTTAATTTCTGAGGCCCAATAAGACATGTTCAGTTATTATACGGCTTTTATGTTTTATCCTTGTTGAAGAGTGTAGTCATTGTAGCTTAGAACAAATGCCAGAGTATTTCAAATTAAACCATGGAGTGTGTACCAATACAATATTTAATATATTGTAGAGCTGTGGTAGGAGATAAGTACACTTTGTAATATTGTAGCAATCCACATGTTTAGACTGTCTGTTCATTGTTGTTTCTTGTTGGTGTAGGTACAGTCACCTGGAGAAAGAAAACCAAAATTTAAGTAAATGTCCTCATCTTTTTTTTTAAACATTAATTTTCTTTTTAACATTAGTAATGTATTTTAACAGCTCAAAACTGTCATCACGTAATTTTGAAGTGGACCATATTTTTATATTATTATATATATATAGAAAATTCTATATTATTTGACAATTCTTGCTTTGATGCGTTTTCTCCTTATTTTCAGATTAGCTGCGGTTTTTAGAAATGAAAGCCCTGAAGCAGAGAAAAATAAACAGGTACCTATTGCATGTCAAAGATGAGCAAATAAAAAATTATTAATTCTTACACTGAAAAATCACTGATTGGGTGGGCACACATAGAGTTGTGCATCCAATCTTATATTAGGTTGTAATCTGAAAACTAACATTCAGAATCACTATTTTAAGTCATCCTTTTTCTTTATGGACTTAAAAAATGTTGGCATTTCTTTTCATCAGGGGATTAGTCAGGTTACATGATGAAAATTTATGTTGTACATCAAAATATTCAAATATCTGTCTCCTTGAGTTGTGTAGTGCATGCTGAAAACATATTTACTTTTTATTTCCAACGCAGAGTACTGCACCCGGGTTAAACAAAGACAAACCATCCTGTAAAGATCATGCTGAATCTACACAATCATCAAGGTAAGCGTCATAATTCAGATGCAGAGCGGGGAAACATCCCTTCTTCATTTAATTTAGTTCTAGGTGTTGGTTTGACCCTACTTTATTGTTGACAAGGTTTTAAAGAGGAGTGGTTTCTCTTGTTTCTTGCTGTGGATCCTCTGTGTTTCTTGCTTTGATTTTAACTTTCTTCTCGCCTGGGTGATACACCAGTCCTGAGCCTAATGTGGACTTGGGAGCCTGGGGCACTGGTAAATTCAAAGAGATTTTAAACTGTTCTCCCCATTCAGCACATTTTCACATGACAATTAAAAAAGCAAAACTGTTAATTGCAGGGTATCCCTGACTTTTAGCTCTAGTTTGCTTCTGTAGCAGCAATTTGTGAGAGGGAGAAGTCAGAGAAATTAACAGCACATAGGTTACTTTTTTGACTCATTGTTTGCATGTGAGGCATGCACTACTAGGACTAGTTCAAAAATAGAAAATTGTGAATTACATCCATGGCATAACTGTGCAAGGAAGTGCGTTTATCAATCACGTTTTTCAAAAACAAAATATGACAGACAGTTTTGTCTGTTTTTTTAAAGCCGCTGCTCATAAGCAATTTTGACATTGTGTGCCATCATTTGTAAATTCCATACTTCATAGTTTCTTCCATCGAACAAAGGGTGGTGTGTACTGTATGTTATTAGCTGCCGACAGGTGAGTTTATCGGGATCTTCACATCTCCTATAGCAATATTCCACTGTCTTCTCTTATTGCCTTTGTGCTTGTTGTGGCCAGCTAAAATGCTTTTTCTCAATTGCATTTCCAGGTTTTAGACCCAGAACGTTATTGATCCAGCTTTGCTAACGTATTCTGTCTTCCGAGACCTTGAGACACAAGCTTCCTTTATTTTAGTTTTCTATATTTTGTATTCCTTAAAGATGTGTCTTTGAGTTTTGAAAACTCATATGTATGTTGATACATCATTTCTGTTATCTTTGACAAAACCAGCATTGTGTTGTACAAAACAAATCTAAACGTTTCCCTCAATAAATAAATTGTAACATCTGGAAAGGATTTTCTGTCTCCTTTTTAATGATAAAAACAATGAAAAATAACTCTGTAACACTTACAGCAGATTCAGTTTTAAGTATGCATCGTGAAGCACACTGCTTTAATTAGTCTGACAAAAGTGGTAATGGTTACAAGAGCATTACAACGAGTGCCTCATCAAAAAAACAGTACAGTTTGCACACCTGAAAATAAAGAAATGACTTTAAAGGGGTATTCAGCATATTGTGTTTTTCTACATTCACTTCTATTCCTTCAGAAAGGCACCTCACTACAGATTGAGCCGACTGGCTACTGTGGAATGTGAGTGATAGGCTATTTTTTCCTCATTTGCAGAGGCACTCAAACCTCAAACAAGTCCCTCACAGCCAGTGTAAAGAAGGTAAAAGTTAGGGGCAGAATGGAACATCTGTTGTAACATGGCAGTGCTGCAGTAGAACGATAGGGGCAAGAATGGATTGCAAACAGATGGGACAATGTACCTTAGTGAAGCTGGTGACATTGACAAAGATAAGACTTCAGCTTCAATCATTCATTATTATTCCAGTATGTTATAGTTATATATTGTTATAGATACATATTTCATTCTACATATTTTAGATTACTTTTTTCAATTTTTGGTAAAATGATGAATGAAGAATTGAAAGGAAAAATATATACTTTTCATGATGCAAATTTCACAGTAATAAGCAGTCACTCATTTGCCCCCTCTTTTCAAATGCTGCATACTTGTGTTGTAAGAGAAAGTCTTGTCCATTTCTGGGAGCTGCTTTTACTGTATATACTAGCCACCTTTGTGCAACATTCTATAGGAGTACAAGCAATATGTGCAACTATGTGAACTGTATATTACAGGGATATAGCAATGTGTTCTTTTTTTTTTACCTGACTGATGGCTAGATATAATGTTGCTTAATGACACCTATATTCCAGCGAAGTGCAATAATATAAATGAAGATTTCAGACTGATTGTGAAAAAACGAGCTACAGACAAAACTACATTAATCAATCATTGTGCTTTATTTGGATTCGTGTAAAGAGAATTAATTGTGTTTTTAGATTTTTACAGGATTTTGACCTGATCGAAACAATTGATAAGGGTGGCTTTGGCAGTGTTTTTAAGGCAAGACGAAAACTTGAAGGAAAACATTATGCTGTGAAGATAGTAAAGCACACCCCGTAAGTGAATCTTGTATATCTATTGTTATTGTATATCTGTTGTCATTAGAACATTTGCTGTGTCATTGTGCTGTGTGTTTTATTCTTCACTTCATCAATTGCATTCCAGCAGTCCTACACTGGGAAATCTTGTATTACACAGCATACAAAATACATTGTGTAAATATAACCCATTGAAATTAATTAATTAATCCTTCTAAGTGACCTTGATAAAGATTTCAACAAAATTAAAAGATATGAATGAACATTATTATAAAAATAAGTGGCATGTTGGTGTTGCAGTTAACACTGCTACCTCACACTTTCAGGGTTCTAAACTCCAATCTGCTCTCTGTAGAGTCTGCATGTCCATGTGGGTTTTCTGTAGGTGTTCTGGTTATGGAAAAGAAGTCGCCTTTCGGCCCTTGTTTCTGGGATGGATTCCAGATGGCCATGATTGGAATTGAATTGGACTGGAATAATAATGATGATGATGATAAGGATTGGAATAATAATAATGGTAACCTATGGAATAATAATCCGTGAGTGCTCTGTTCTTCCACAGCAAAGCAGAGCGTGAAGTTGGGGCCCTGGCAGGGCTTCAGCATCAATACATTGTTCGCTACTTCTCCTCCTGGCTTGAAGACACAATGTACCAAGCAGAAAAAACGGACAGCTCGAGCAGCTCCAGGTGCTACAAAAAAGTCCTTTTTGTTTTCATGTTCACAAATTCTTTGCATCAATGAGCACATTTTATTGACAGTAGACCAGAGAGTAAGAAATCAGTGTGGCTTGGTGTAGAAATATCTTACCACATTCCCTTACCGTGCAAACAGCAAATAAGATTTTTGTTTTATAAATATTCAGTGTTTGAGCCTACCCAGGTCATTTCAGCGTAAAGCTGCCATTTAGTTAAACCAACCGAACAAGCACATTTTAATGTTATCATGCATTCGTGGTAATAATTGTGTACTTTCTATGCAAAATATATAGGTAAATGGCGTGCCAGAGGTTGAACTGTATTTCACAAGTATGTACAGGGTATTTGCGAGTTTGTATTAGCTGAATTTCATTTTTGACGTAGTGGTATTATGTATAATTTGATAAAGAGCAAGAGCTTCACTTACAGTACTGTAGGTTACTTTGACAAGCGTAAATGTTGTACTTTGGCTCCTCCCCACTCCCTGTATAACGCCCTCTTGTGGTTAAATGTTGCTCTTGAAGCTCTGGTCCTGGTACCCCAAAGGAGTTTCTCTACATTCAGATGGAGCTCTGTGAAGGGGGGACACTGAGATCCTGGATTGATCAAGAACAGGACGGAAGACCAAAGGATAAAGAAAAGACTATGTCTATTTTTCGGCAGATAGTAGAAGGAGTGAAGTACATTCATTCAAAACAACTTATTCACCGAGACCTGAAGGTATTTATTTCATTAGATCATTTCAGAAAAATAATTTGTTACATTTTCCCTTTGTTTTCCACTTTATTTTTCATTGAGCCTAATGATGTTGCACAGAGCAGATAGATAGTTGGAAAAAAAAGGTACACTTAAGTTTTATATTTCTAATACTTGAGGGGGTTTACTCATGTAGCCCTGATTCATATATGAATAGAGGAGAGGATGATACAATTGTAAGAACTTCAAAATGATAACATGAAAATGCACAGCCCCAAGTTTAACTCTGGCCCTAATAAATCTAGTTCTTTTTTAGCCACCAAACATCTTATTCAGCCATGAACGAACAGTGAAGATTGGAGATTTTGGACTGGCAACATCTGCGATAAATGAAAGTGACAGCAACTCAATTCAGAGGACTAAACGAACAGGAACAGTCACTTACATGAGTCCAGAACAGGTAACGCAGACAAGTTTAATTTTTAAGTAAACAATATTTTTCGTAATTTTATTTTTTCAAAAGACCACACAAAATAATAGAGTTGTATCAACATCTGACTGTAACGTGGAGAACTTAATTCGTGGCCACTTCCTCTCCATATGAATTTTAAAATTCTTCAATACAGTCTATCCCAGTAATCAATGGGGGAGAGAGAGAAATCGCAGGACTTCAAGTGAATTCAAGTGAAGAAGGAACCTTCCTTTTAAATTATGGAGATATGAGTCTGAGAGTAATTGGGGAAATTAGTCCATCAACACAAGACACCATCTTCCTGCTTTAAAAGGTTATTGAAGTTGTTTACTGTGATGGCATGTAAAGAAAACTAAATCTAGATGTATCTGATGTGTTTAACCAGTTCCACAGTTGGAGCTCAGCTGCTTCTCCAAAGATTGCACAAGCCTAGAAGAGAATTAAGGCATGATACTGTTGTTAGCACACATGCGCTTACAAACTGTGTCATGGGATCTTTAATGAACAAGTAGTCAGGACTAGATTTAATGTCTCAATCCGAAGGATGGCAGCTCCCACAGCAGTGCCCCTGGTCATTGGTTTGGCCTGGAGGAAGAGCACCACCTACTGGTCCACCAGCACCACTTGGCAGCAGCAGCTGCATCCCAGCACTGACCAGGTCCAGGTGCTTAGCATCCATGATTTGAAAGGCTACAAGTTGGTAACATTACTGCCACCATCAGTTAGTTGTGTCAGTTGCAGCAGATAGGAGTTCCATGAGCTGGGTCATCCAAAGTGAACTGGCAGTGAATGGCAATCCATAACCCACAATCAATCAAATCTCTGTTGTAGGTGTGGAAACAGTTCTCTACAGCTGCCTGTTGTAGATCAAATGTGTCATGTGTCATATATGCATTGATCACATATATGCATTGATGCATTGAAAACAGGTGCTTTGAATTGATTTTTAAATATTGGTTTGACAGGAGACCCAGAACCAATATGGGGAAAAGGTGGATATTTTTCCATTAGGATTGATTTTCTTTGAGCTCCTTTGGAGATTCAAAACAAAGACTGAAAGGCAAAAAGTAAGTATATCATACAGTACAAGCATATCCTGGAATGTGAACATCACTAATTCATATGAATGAAAAATTTGCTAAAAGATTTGTACTTTGCACATGGATCTGTATTTTTGGCCCTTGAGGGCTCATTTTGGGCTATGCTCTGCCATCTCATTATGCAATATTTTTCATTAAAAAAAGAGATGGAAACCTTTATTTAAATAATTGGCTATTTAAGATTATCGTAGTTCAAGTAGGTACTGTAGCTGCATCAGCAGGCGTAGGCTGCAATGAACAAGTAAAGGTTTATTCCATGCTGAAAAGAGAAAAAAAGAAAGACAGCATTTCGGCTGTGGAGCCTAGTTTTTTGTTTGCTTTTTTCCACAAGTGCCCTACATTTCGTGAATCTGTGGAAAAGAAACTTTCAGATTATTCCTAACATGACTTATCAGCACAAACAGTTCAGATTGTAGGTCTGGACACAGTAGGAGGACCTGGCACCTAGCCAATATTAATCCTATATATGAAGAGATAAGAATAGGATACCTTCCGATTGCTCTTATTTTTGTCTTCCATTATGAGAATGACTAAATGACATTATTTCATTCACAGACATGGCACAGCATACGAAACAGAGAGTTCCCTTCAGAGTTTTGTAAGCAGCACCACAATGAGGTAAAACATGCAGTGTTTACTGTTAATGCTATTTGATGCATATTGTTTTAGGAAAATAATACATGCAAGTAATTACTGCAAAGTACCGGACTTCAGTTTTTTTTCCCAGAAATATGACAGCACTACTTGTTCAAAAAATATGTTTAGCTTAGAAATGTGTAAATGCCTGTACTGCTGTCACTAAATGCATTAATAAGTTATTTTTACAAAGATTTGGAAACTGCATTATTCTATTCTATCTAGAATAACAGAACAAAAAATCTGCGTAGTCGTAGGGTATTTGCATAAAACTGTGGCAATGCATTTCAGTTTCTACAGCGAATTTTGATTAAGACATTTGCAGAAAGTCATGCCAGCACTAGAACCTCAACCGTGACAATTCTGCTGTATTGCAGAACAAGGGAAACACTGTTCTTAATTGTACCCCCAAGGTGATTCCTAACAGTAACTTACTGTACCTTCAGCTGATGCATTGAAGCATCATTATAACTTTCCATGTCTTACGCGCGTACTGCTGTTATAGCAATTAGAAGTGGGTTTGGTGGTGTGCTAAGAATCTAGAGGCAATGGTTAATACCTGGCTAGTCTCAACATTTGTAGTGGTCTCTCTGTGTGCACAATGTTTCTTTTGGATCTGTTTTCACCCTAGGTGGAAATTCATTATGTTTTGGAGTTACATGTGGAGTAGTAAATAAATAGAATTGAACTTAATGGGAACATAAGTAAAAATTGCCTGAAAATCCAGTGCCTGAAACTTCAGAAAACATACAGCAAGACAATGTCCGAGCACGCTTTTTACATGCTACCTCAGATGTGAACAAATTAAATAATCGTATCCAATTGTTTTTTTGTATTTTACAGCATAAATTAATTGAGCAGATGCTTTCTCAAGAGCCGGAAGAAAGACCAGAGGCCTCAAAGATCGCCAAAAATTTGAAAGTGCTGTTGAAAAGCGCAAGTGAACTTCAAGACTCAAAAACTATATAAAGGTTCAGACAACAAATGTCTTAATCAAAAATGTGTACATGATTGTGTTTTAAATGATGTAAACAGGGTTGCCAACCAACGAAACAAACTGTTTTTGCACTTAATATACAGTATAATCACGTGGGGCGGTACAGTGGAGCATTGGGACCCAGGGCTGAATTCCTTGGGTGTTATCTAAATGGAGTTTGTATGTTTTCCCAGTGTGGGTTTCCTCTGGATGCTCCGATATCCTCCCACAGTCCAAAAGCCTACTGGTAGTTTAATTGGTTCCTGGGAAAATTGGCCCTGGTGTGAGTGTGTCCAGCCATGGACTGACTTCCCATTCCGCATGTAGTGAATGGCTTTTGCCTGTTGCTTGTCCACATTCCCTGTAACTCTGCATTGGCATAAAGGAATTTGAAAATGAATGAATGAATGAAAGGCTAAAAAAACAAGACCAGAAAGCTGATGGTGTTGTGAATTTAATCCATCAGTATAGAATCATGTTCCTCTTTTGGATACTGTTTTTTAAATCTGTCTAAAGGTAATCTATCGAAAGAGAAAAATAATTTAATGTGCCAAGCATGCACATTGAGCCTTAAGTGGGTTCTCATAGGTATTGTATGTATTCATTCAAATTGTGATGTTACTAATTTGAGTGTCATACCATTCTTTGTCTCTGTAATGTACTGTACTTGACCAGTATGACGAATAATCATTAAATGTTCAATATTAACACTAACCACTCTGTTATATGGCAATTGCACCTTCTGCAAAGGTCACTTTAAGAGTGAGGTTACTGGGAAAACATCTGGTAGTTTTTAATACTCTGAACTGATAAAGAAAGCTGGAAAAATTATAGTACAGATCATTAAGCATTATTTACCAAGGTGCTCGTTAATCAAGCAATCATTTTATCTGTCATTGCCATTAGTCTGTGATATACGTTTTCTGGTCACTCAATGCAGTAATACAAGATTCCTCTCAATGTCTAAATCTGTGTCAATGAAACATTACATGGGATTTAAAGAAAGTAATCAGTGAACCTTGACTGTGGTATTCTTATGATATGTTGTGCTGCTAACTGTAAACTGTAAACATGTTTTTAAAATACTATTTTATATTTTGCCCTTTATGAATAATGGTTTTGTTTTTTGGTGTCTCTAAAGTGTAAGAATGAAGTTTGCTTTGTAAATTATAAGAATTTGGCCTTAAGTATTCCATGTTGGAACATATAAATTTTAATTTTATTACTGTCAACCATCTCATGAATATCATTTTGGCCTTTTGGTTAGGAATTTGCTAATGTAACCATAGAAATATATTTTTTATCTAATAAACAGACATGTTGTCTACGCATAGAGCCACCAGCTAGACTAGATTACCATTTATTTTAATTATTTTTATTTAAGCCAATGGAGGAAACAACTATTAAATAAGGCAGATCTCAGAAGTATCATTTTTTACTTTTTTTTGTGGCCTGGTAGGCAGTCAGTTATCGGCGTGGCAAACACTAAGAGAGGTGACTATAAGAATAGGATGCTTGGTTTATAATAATACTTAAATTTAAAAAGAAATAATGCTTACATTTCCACTCAAAGCACTTTACAGGTAATGGGGACTCCCCTCCACCAATGTGTAGCTCCCTACAAGAATGATGTGACAGCAGCCAAAGTGCACCAGTACGCTCACCACACACCAGCTCTCAGTGGGGAGGAGAGAAGGATGATGAAGTCAGTTCATAGATGGGGATTATTAGGAGGCCATGATTGATAAAGGCCAGAGTAAAATTTGGCCAGGACACCAGGGTTAACATCCCTACTCTCTTCGAGACACACCCCGTGACTTTTAATGACTACGGAAAGTCAGGAACTCAGTTTTACGTCTCATCCGAAGGACACCCCCTTTTTTACAGTATAAATGTATAGTTTAATATACATCAGGTGGGTAGCTGTGTCAGCATGCGTAGGCTGCAAAGGAACAAGTAATAGGTTTATTCCATGCTGAAAAAAAGAAGAAAGAGAACACAACGTTTCGGCCGTGGAGCCTTCTTCAGGTGTCAATATACATTAAAATTTGCAATAGCAAAAATGAGTGCTGCTGTCTTTGTTGTGTATTTAGATGTTTCATGTCTCTTGAAAATTTAAAATTCAGATATTATCACTTGTGCTTAACAGATTTGTGTCTGGGTAATGCAGTGTATTCGTATAGACATATCTGAAAGAGTAAGGATAGGAAAAAACGTTTTGTTTTGGGTGGAAATTAATAAAGAACATTTGACATAAACATTTGGATGTGTTGTGATTTTTTAAATTCATTTATCATTTTGGAACCCTTTAAATAAATGAAAAAGTGTAATAAAGCAACTTTAAATATGATGGAAGTCAGGTGATATGGAGGTGTGGTGGCGCAGTTACCTCACTGCTCTTGGGTCCTGGATTCAATTCCTGATTGGGATGCCTTCTCTGTGTACCTTCTGTGTGAAGTTTGCGTGTTCTCCCTATAAATTTGAGCTTTTTTTCGGGAGGCAGGTTCCTCTCTCCTTCTAAAGATACAGTGACTAGGTTAACTAGTGTCTCAGACTTGTCCTTGTTGATGGATGTATCTATGCAACACAATGTGTACAGTATAATTCCATGAGAAGTGGTCTCATTTGTACCACATGACAGCCATTATGTAAGACAAAATATTTTGGAATATAAAAAGGGTTTCAACGGTATGGATTCCTAACAAATTGTCTAGAAAGAGCAACTAGTGGTGCTGTAAGAGCAAATTCAAAAATCCTAAATCAATGCCCTCAGAAGAGCTTTTCAGCCCCTATCTAATGGACTCCTAACCTAAAGAGACAGTGATCAGTAAAAACCTATAAAGTCTACTGTTATTGGTCCACAGTTGTGTTCAATACCTGGGTCAAAAGGCCAAAGTAAATATTTAAAGAAAAGCTGCTCTGCATAGAAATTTCTGTGGGCAATATCAGGATCTATCTAAACATTTTTTTGTTTTTCAGAAAAAGAAGCCTTTGAAAGATGTAGAAGGATTTTTGCTTCGGTATATTTGCCATTGTGTCATCGCCATTAACTCTCTATTATCCTCTCAAACAGAGAAATTAGTCATATATTTTAAAATGATGCATACTAGAGCCAATTAAGTCAGCAAAGAAATTTTTTTTCAGTTCTCTAGGTCACACTTCAGTTGTCACAACATTGTTGTGGTGCAAATAGGCCATAAAATGTACAGTCTGCAAAAGTAGATACTACTGTATATAGACAAGATCAGAATACATGCAAGCACAGGAAAAAAAGTTTTTTAAGAGCTCATTTAACAGCCTTGTCAAAAATAATTTTAAAGTTCCAAATACTAAACAGCTACAGTAGTCCTCATCTTTCAGCTACTAACAGTACATCCATTGTGAATGGAATATTTCAATCTGACTTTTGTGTGATAATATGTATTATATTTAAGAAGGAGTTTTGTTTAGCAATGAAAACACAATCAATTCTATGTGTAAGATCTGGGGGGATTTCAATTTTATATATACATAAGTGTTCTTTAAAACTATAGTGAAGTCCAGGGACCGATAAACACTTTCTACATGTACTGAAAGGTATGTTAGTACACAGATGCTTAGGCTTCGTATCTGCCTGGGAGCTTCTAATTGAAGGCAAGAGCACTTAAACCCACTGCAATGCAGGGAAAACTATTGGCTCTGAAAAAATCCTCTGAAGAACTAGGAGAACATGTTAAAGTTCAAGGGTAAGAATAATGTTGACTCATAATTGTTAATTAGAAACAATAATACTGCCCTAATTAACTGGAACACTGTCTCATCCTATTGTTCAGACACAGAGCGAAGACATTTCTGTACATGAGCTAGTGTCCCGATATTGCTATGTGTCCATCCTCCCAAAACCACCATTAGAATTTCAAACTGTCAGATTTAATTATATCACCAGGTGAACCACTGTAGGTATTTAATGTGCCTTGAGCTAAGATGGGCACTTTAGTGTGTTATTTTCATGTCCTGTCATGTCTCTTCACAGATTTTGTTTCAATCTGGCTGCCCTTTTTAAAGTTTTTTGAAGCGTCTTATGGAAACTTTAGACAAAAGCAGATCACAGGCTCAGTACTGGAAGTAAGTGACTGCAGTAACCTTTGCACATGCCATGCAAGGAAAATCACAATGATGAAAATCACAATGATTAGGTGCATTACCCTGGATAACAGCCCTCAAACATTACAGGCCAACGTATACTATGGCAGTGGAGATTTGGCTAACTGGCGCAGGTTCAAAGTTCAGCAAGCACATAAAGAAACTGTAAGACTGTGAGTTACCAAATACCAATCTTAAATATACGTAACCAAAGCAATGCCAAAATGTGTACCCCAGTTAAAAGGTGGTGGGTTACACAAACAAAGATTACAAAAAAAAAGAAAAATCTGAGAATGAACTTTATTAAAATATTTTACCCACCAATAGAAAAATGTCCTTAATTAAGCTCAGTAAGTCATTGGATTCTACACATTCCCCTCTCCACCAAGTCTGTAACTCCTCTGGGTTACATTGTTTGCTTTGTTCTTAGTTAAGCCTGCATTGTTATCTCCCCATTCCTGGGTGACTAGGGGACATATTACTAGCAGAGCTGGCATTTCCTACTCCTCTGCAAAGTGGTTTACAACAGCTGCAGTAGGTCACAGGGAACACCTGAAATTTCTTGACTTTTCCGAAACTCATTTCATGCCTAACATTTTATTGAAGAAAGATTTCCATACATATATCTCTGCTTTTAGGTTTATAAACAAGGTCTACCATGTCAATAAAAAAATCACATTTGACTGCAAAGACCTGTGTGCTCTGGCCTTTATGCTTTATATAGACAAAGATGTTAAAAAATATTGGTTTCATGGACCACCATTCCACCATTTATGGAATATTGTTGCATGTTTTTCAATACTTGGCTGTCATAAGAACTAGTTGCATGGAATTTGGTATAGTGAGCCCATACAATTAAAAGACATCCATACAAATATGCAACATTGAGCCAATAATAAACAACATCCACCCAACACATCTTCACATACCATCCTAAACACACACCAGTAATAAAAGACAACCTTTAAAAAATGTATACTCTCCCCTATTGGGTGAAATTCTTTCATACTCTTTGAATTTAATTTAAGGATGGCCCTGAGACTGTAAATACTGAACTCTGATAGGAAGAAACTCATTTGGGACCACAGAGCACATGTTTAAGGCAGTCCTTCAGTAAATTATGAAAATGAAATGAAAATCACTCCAGAAATGGACTATCTATAGATATAAGTGTTTTAATACAGAAGTCAGTGCGGCATTCTGTAAGACCTTCCTGTTGAGGAGAGAAAACAAATAACCGAGTCTTTCAGCTCACAGTAATCATACTGGCAAACTATATCCCACTGAACTTTCTGTTTCTTTCCTCATGAGAATGTACACTATGAACCTACAAATCCTAAATTCCACAGACCATTGTTATGCCATTCTTAATGTTCAGAATTAATGCACTAATAATGTTCTGATATTAAGATCTAATTTTTGTACAATGTGTTATGGGAGTTTGTAAGAAGCTACCCAGCCATGTCGTCAAAAAAGCCAAAGCTAATATCCTGGCTAAGTGAGACCATTGAATTACTTAGTGATTAGCAACCAAATGAGTCAGTTTAGCTGAACAGCTTTTTATCATTGTTACAATTTTTAATGTTTCTGAATTTCTGGCATCTAAAATAATGTTTCAAAATTAAATCTAAATTAAAATGACAGTAGTAAAAAACAAATTCTGCCGTCTACACAGCTTTGTTATAATACCATGAGACTTCTGAGGACAATTTTAAGGTGCTGTTTCTGGTTTATAGTGATTAAAATTTACTGAAATCACAGGGAGTGTAATTTTCGTTTGGCTCTTCTGTTAAAACCTATTGTAAATTGTTTTTTCAGCTGCAACACTGGTCTTGTTACACCTATCCAGATAATGCTGAAATGCAGGATCGGTAAGTATTCTAAGCTCGGTACTTCAACAAGAACTGTTTTTCTTGTAAACTCAAACTCCCTCTCCTTAAAACCTCAAAAAGTGGGCTCTGTTCAAGAACTATGTTTAATATTATTTCAGAAAAGATTCAATGAATAAACTTGGGTTACTCTAAGACATTTAAATTCTACTCGAAGTGAATTTACTACAAATAGGTTTATCATAACTATCATAATAGACTATCATAACTCATACAATACTTTGTTATCTGAGCGAATCTGAACACATAATGAAAACAAATCCCTAGATTTATTTCCTCTGTATGATCTTCAATATATAAACTCTATTTTAAAGATGGAGTAATTGCAATTTAGATGAACGCCTAAAGAGGTTACTGTAAGACATTTAAATTCTACTCGAAGTGAATTTACCACTAAACTCAGAAACAGATTTTGACGGAAGACTAATAAATGCAGTTTGTAGTGTTCAAATGTGCATTACCCCTTATCTGTCTTGTAGATTTCGTAACTTTAAATTTAAAAGTTTGCAAACAATATGTTGTTGCATTTTTCTGGAAAGTAAGAGTGTCAGATTACCACCACAAAAAGAACTCTTCCATATTTCTCCAACTTCCTTACGGTTTTTTTCACTACGTGATCGAGCATCTGACAGCCAATGCAATTAGCGATGGGCTATTTACACGGCCACGCCGCGAAATGACGTCAGCGCGAACAGGGCATTTAAATTCGGCCAGCTAGCTAACCTCCTACAATTCCAGTGCTATGATAAGCAGGGCAATTTCAGGTTAGTGGAATCGCCTATCAAGATGCCTCCTTCGGAAAAAAGCCAACACGCCAAACCCTTCAAGCAAAGGAAAAGCTTGGGTGAGTTCGCTTCTTCAATGCGACGTAAGCCCTCCTTTAATTGGGAATAATGCTGTTCTCTGTCTTCCTAGATGCAATTGTGTGTGTGTTCCAAGGTGATTTTACTGCGTCTCTCGTTCCAGCAACCAGAAAGGAGGAAGTTGCGGGGATTCGGTTAAAATTCCCGACTAAGATTCCTGTGAGAACTCTTTCTGAACTTTTTGCATACTTGTTTAGTTTGTTAATGAGACAACTGTTCTTAGTTGTTGTTTTTTTCCCCCTCTTTCCGTAGGTGATCGTGGAGCGATACCACAGAGAGAAGTATCTTCCTTCCCTGGATAAAACAAAATTTTTGGTCCCCCAAGAACTTACTATGACCCAGTTTATTACGATAATTAGGTGAGTTATATCTTGGGGTTGAGACTGATTTGCGTTCATCAAGCTCCAGCCAGCTTGTTAAAAAAAAACAGATATAACTGAGTTCAAAATCTTGCTTGCAAAAACTTGCGTGCTGTGTTAAAGGCAAACATTTGCACAGTAGGTCGGGTTTCCTCATCTACAGAAGTGGTGTTAACTAATGATTTTCAAGTCTTAGCAGACTTGAATACAATTCTGAAAAAGCACTTGGGGGGGGGGTTACCTCCCCCCACTACTGTGAAAATGTTTTTGCCTTCTCCCATACACGTGCAGTATAAATCCTGAAATCATAACATCAGTGTTTGGGGAACTACATTTGGCAAAAGTTAATTGAGAAAGGGACAAAAGACTTCTTTATAAATGTTAAAACCTATCTTAACCTGATCATGTTTCAGAAACCGGATGTCTCTCACGCCAAGTCAAGCGTTTTACCTCCTTGTCAACAACAGCAGCTTAGCCAGCATGTCTCTCACCATGGCCGAAGTGTACAAGGATAACAAAGATGAAGATGGCTTTCTGTATATGACCTATGCATCTCAGGAGATGTTTGGCTCTTGCACAGAGTGTACTGCTGTTGAACTATCAAAGGCCGGATGAAGACAATCCTACAACCTCGGCTTAACTGTAGCATTGGACACATCACAACGCTGAGGTGTTATTTCAAGGGGGAACATCGGCAGGTCCAGATGATGGCAAACCTTTGTGGAGTTTGTATTTAAAAAAAATTTTATGTGGCTGTTTTTGTAATTGAGGTATTTTTAAGGTGGTGTTTTTTTTCCTTAATTGAGTAAAATAAATTGTAGAATTCTTGAACTGGTGGGCTGCTTATTCGATTAGTGTTTAATGACCCGACTTGGGATGGCACAGTAGTTAGCATTGCTGCCTCACAGTGATGGAACACTGGGTTCAGTTTCTGAGGTGCTATCGGTGTGGAGCTTGTGGGTTTCCTCGCATATTCCAGTGATGTAATGGCTTCTCCTGTGTCCTTGCCTTGTGCCCATTGTGTGCCAGGATAGGCTCTGGCTCCCCTGCAGCCCCGGTTTAGAAAAAGGGTTGGAAAATGGATGGATCTGCTTTGCTCCATCAGCAGTTGCTTTTAATGGGACTCACAGCATGTGGCTCACACACGTGCTTTACACTGGTCCTAGTCTTCAAATGACAAACTTTATTTAAATGAAACAAGAATATTGTTGGCAATTTCATGTCTATCAACTTGGTGTAAAATTGTCTTTTCAACACATTAAACAGACAGATAAAAGGTGCATAAACCCACCTGGACTTTTGTTTCCTGCAATGAAGTTAATGTATTTGGAATGAGAACATTTAACCAGTTTGCTTTCCATTGCATTTGCAGAGGTTTACACTGGCTTTTGCCAAAGATGAGCTGCTGAGTGCAAAGCAGTAACATTGCAGCTGCTTCTAGTTGGGAAAGAGGTGGACAGTGCACCTCTTATCTTGCCAGAAGATTTTTTTTCATATTTGGAGAGAAATCTGAGAAGGAAGGACACTCTTGCAATTCAGCTGTGGGCTGTTTATAGACCCACGTGCTTTAAAAAAAAAAAAAAACAGGCCAGTGCTCATGCAAGCATGAGCATGTGTAGCACACTACTTTCCCCAATAGCAATGAAAAGGGGACAGCACATGCATTAAAAACAATGCGAACCGAGCTCCACCCTGGGGAAGAATGAGGGGTGAGGGTTCTGGCCTCCACACTGGAGAGTTGTGGGTGTTAATTCTGGGTGGGACATGTCTGTTTTACCCTCAAACAACAGCCTTCACTTAGATTGCTCTCTAGCAAATGTATTGATGCTTAAATGGGTGCTCTTTAACGTCACTTATTTTAACCCTTTAACATTTATTGCATTTGGAATTATGCAAGAATTAGTTATTAGTCATTGCAACTGAGAATTCGATCACAATTGAGTACATTTTACCCAGGCTCAGTACTGGTAAAATAACAGATACAAATTCTTCAAGCATAAAGGTGAGCTAGAAGACATCTTGTACTTCTTAAGGCCAAAGTTTTGATATATTTGTTTAGACAAGTCATGCATTTTTAATCATCGAAAGCATTAGAAGACATAAAATGCATACTTTTCTTAACAGGCTGGCCATCAAAGATTACAGCTGGAACCTATCCAAAAAGGTGATTTATGTTGGGAAAATACATTAAGAAAAGGAGGCTTCATGTTCTGGTGTTTTGTAATTTAATGTACAATACACTTTAAGACAAAAGGAACAAGTGGCTTATTGTACTGTAACTTTACAAACCCTGATAAAACAAAACAACATTATGTGATGTATTATATAATATTTAGTGCCCTTCAATTGTATTCATATCCCTGATGAAATAGGATCAAATACCAAATAATTGAAAGATTTACAGACTTAATAAAGTTAATTAAATATTCCAAATCAATTATACAGTAATATTAATTACATTGCACAGGGCAAAGTTTTTTATGTAATAAGTACTGTAAGTCCAGAAAACATGAGGGTCATATTTATTTCCAGAACAACCCTATTATTAATATTTTGTAAATCCTGCTCTGGTGGGATTACACTGACACCTCCTGTACTGTGCTCTCACGGTTCAGCCGGGAAATTTATGAACATTACTTTTTGTATAATTGCATTAAGTCCTTCAGATCATTTGGTTTCCACTAGTGAGCTGTCTTGAGTTAGAATCACAAATGCAGATGTAAAAACATAAACTCTGGATCATTGTCTAGCTGAACTGCTTATTTTTGGCTAAGCTTGAGCTTCTTGAGAAAAAGAACCAGGTTTTTGGCCAAAATATCCGGTGTATTAACATGATGTAATCATGATTTTTGTTTTTGATTCTATGTTGTCTAATACAGTCAGTTAAACATCATAGAGTACACAGTAATCGTTTTGTGTTGTCATTTTTGGAACGAAAAGGGGTGGTATTCTTAAGGTAGGAAGATCCAGACCAAGAATTATCTTTTGGCTTTAAATGAGCTCAATCTTCTTCAAGCAGCAGAGGGTTTTGTTCAACAACATGGAGAAAATGTTTATTCAACTGTTCATCACATGTTCACATGTCACTCTAAAATGAAACAACTGGAGCTTTTATAAGGTCTTCTGGGTTTATGCACTGGTTAAATGTTTACAAAAAGTAACAGGTTAACTTATTTAATGTTTGAATATTTCTGTGACAACTTAAATTGCAATGCGACAAAAATTCCCCTTCAGCTCACATACACACTGTAATGTATGAACAGTAAAAGTAAGTCTGAGAATTTTGTTTATTGAAATTAAAGTCAAATGATGTTTTGTTGATGAAACAAAGTAAAAAAAAAATCAATTTGATCTCAGATTGTTTAGTTTATTAAACCCACATAGTGAAAATTATTCCAGTTCTTTTCTAAGTGAGTTGAAATCATGTCTGGATATTATGTTTTCAATGTCCTCATCACTGGACTATACAGTTTACTTCATTAAATCTGAAATTCGCTTATTTTCATTCATAGATAGGCATGTCAGTTTTGCTACTATTTGTCAAATCCAATTGCATTTATGATCTGCCATTTCATTTCCGTGCTGCTTAAGGCTTTGTATAAAGATTCCAGTAAAATTGAAAAACAGCACTAATCCCAATTTTTTTCACAAAAAGAGTACTAAGTACTAAGTTTCTTCATTTCCACCCAATGATCATCCTGCTCCTTATCCGTTGAGCTTGCATTAAAACATTCAGTCTCATATTTGTTTGAGGAAATGAGAACTGAGCTGAAACATTGATGATTTTCTATGTATACAGGTAGCTTTTAGATACATTTTATCTTAGATACAAGAGACCAAAGTAATTGTTTAGTGTAAGCATTTACAGTATGTATGTGGTATTTACAGAACACCTGCTGATTACAGGTTGCACTTTAAAAGGCTATAAAATGTCCTGACTACACTGTGATTGAGATTGAACTCAGAGTATTAGTCTAGATCTGTATTCACTCGGTCATGTTAACACCAGTGTACAGAATGCAAAACACCTGTATCATGATGCATGTTTATTACATTACTGTATATCACATAGCCTGTAGCATGGAGCAGAAATCAGTGTTCTTCATTTAACCAGATCAGTTCACTATATATATATAGACACACCCAAGGCATTTCATGTCAGGGTATGAATAGGAATGATAAATTACTCTGGATCACAGCACCTGCAGATGCTAGATGCTGTAAGAAGCAGTAACTGAGATCACCACAAGAGAGCTCTCTCGCTCTGTTGAACACTCGAATCCTCCTGCAGCAAGCTAATTCCCTTTAGAAGCAGAGCAGTTCTGAATACAAATGAAGGCAAGTAAAGATGAAACTGTACCCGGCTCTTGAGAGAATTACACTGTTACACACATTACCTGTGGGATTGAATGTATTAGAAGTGGCGAATTTCAGAGCTGGCAAGCATTTTAAATCCTTTACGCCATCCTGAATTCACATTATTCACGTTACATTTACATGTACAAACAAACCCAAACAAGAACTCAGAGAGAAGAAAGTTCGCGAGGGATTTGATCGATTTCCAAATTTAAAAAAATAAAGCACGAATCTGCGGTTGATGTTTTTTTCCCCTCTTCGGAGCTCCCATAACTAAACGTCATGGCGTAGGTGCAACTTCATGACAACAGGCTGCCTAACTCCCAGCAGCACCTGTGTGCTTGGCACTTTGTCCGTACCCTAGAGAGATCCTCCAGATGAGCAGCTGTACCACTGGATGTACAGTAGGGTGCAGCCTGTTCCATTACAGATCAATGGCATTGGTTCACACACAAAGACTGTGGAAAGAAGTGTTAAACTATTTGGCAATTATGTCCTAAAACCAGACAATGATAGTTAGATCAAGACATAAGAATCCACAACATAACTGTCAGTTTACAGCACTTAACTGTTGCCACAGAATCAGATCTTGGATAAATGCATTTTATCGAGCAAAACTAGTACAGTAGCATACAGCATTTGTGGAATTAAGAGCCATTGTTTGTCACTAAATTGGACAAATGTTACTGTACTTGATTTGCTATTTATCGTGTGCCCTCACAGACTTACTGTACATACTGTATAGAATGTGAGAGAACTAACAATTGTTATTACATGCAGTCCTGACAGGGGGAGATGTTGAGCTTTTGTAGAACCGGCACAGAAAACTAGGTACAAGCCATTTGATGAGATGCTGTTGTTGATGTACTGTACAGGTTTATTTGTTTCACAGCAGGCAGATTTCAAGGAAAAATCATGTGTCATTGAATTGGTTTGCTGATATGTTAAAGGTGATTGCAAACATACCCAAATTTTGGGCACCAGATAATGCCACTTATTCAACTTATGAGCATTGACCTACATAAACTAGTCTCCAATCTATAATATCATAACATTTTGGTACAGCCTAAGATGCACTTGTTAGGACATAAGGTCCTTGTTGCTAGGAGACTTTTCAGCAGGGAACCAATGACAATCTATCAGATTTTAAAGGAAAATTCCATTGTAATTATTCTGGTTTCCAAGTTTTTAATAACTTTTACAGTAGATCTTTGACAGTATTTTATTTAATTTCTCACGTTGTCAAACTGTATCCCAGCTGTTTCATACTGTTCAATACCCTCATCAGCAGAAAGAGACAAAAATGAGATTCCAACAGTTTTGCTGTGAAATAACCATACAAGTTCACAGACAAAAAGAAGGGACAATGCTTTAATCTAGACAATTGCCTGTATCTGTGATACAATCAGAAATGCAATCACACATTTTAATCAGGGGCTTGGATATGGTTTCTAATCTCCTTTGTTAATTTAAGCAGGGTTTTGTTTGCAATGCCAAATCATATTTATGCAATAGAGAGTGTGGCCGTTCATATTATTTCAAAATTAACATTGCTAAAAGAGTAGCAACTGGAGAATTTGATATTAAAATTATACAAACTCATTAGATTTGGACTTCATCCAAATGATGATTGAAATGAAAACCTAAAACTTACAAAGGGCTTCTGACAGTTAAATAATTGATTTTTTTTCTTTTTCTTATGTAAGCTTGTCGCTTACGCAATAGTTGATATAGTTGTTATGAATTGTTTAAGAACTCAAGCATTTCATGCCTGACACGAGGTAATGACATCTCCTGTCAGTAAATGAAAGTGATTAGATCTCACAAACA